GTGTGTGTAAACTGTTAAATCTAACTCAGCCGCTAGGCGCTAATGGATGGTTGCAGTAATTTGCGTTGCCGCTAATGTGTGCTATGGTTGACTGCTGCACTATTTTATTTTATTCTTTTCTGGCTACAAACGAGCAGCTGTTCACAAACGCCAAGTGGCAGAGGCAGCTGACTTACGGAGACACTCTATGGGGAAATAGCCACTGAGAGCGTCGATTTAATCCCAACGACAGGCCCATGTAGGGGGCCGATATTTCAGCGTCCAGTCCAGAGCCCGGCGGGCTATCGAGCGAACATGCACGGGTGGACAATAATGTTCCATTGGTCAGCGCCATTGACCACTCGGTACACTGCCGCCTTAAACCGGCTTGGACTTTCGCAGGCAATTTTTTTTTCTTCTACAGCTTTTCGGAACCAATTGTGTGTAACATACGCATAGAATGTGAAAACAAGTGATTACTTTTTCTTAAAGCCAACGAAGCTGACACTGCAAAGAGGCAGAGACCTAATCACTGGCGGTGTGTTTGAATAGTACAGTATCTCCGAACAAAGACTGCCGTTCACCAAATACTACCAAATCATTCCATTTAGAGCTACCGTAAGGTGGGGCTATTTGAGACAGTGGGGCTATTTGAGACAGTATTTAAAATTGCTATAAAATAAAAACTACTTGAAATTTATGCTTACTTTTTGCTCAGGTGATTTACTGCTCGATTCCACACCTCCCTGAGCAAAAATATCACACAAAAATCAAACGATCTTCATTTCATAGCGATTTTAAATACTGTCTCAAACAGCCCCACTGTCTCAAATAGCCCCACTTAACGGTAGCAATAAGTCTTACGTTCACATTCGTAATGGAGTTTCGACACTTCTTTGATAGCCTTCTAAAAATAAGTTCCAAGTTAACCACGAACTCCGCGAGTCAGCCCCGCCAGACAGCCGCCTCTCTAACGATAATGCATAATCCCGCCACTTCAGCCGGCGGAGGCCGCGGTTTCACACCGCTCCGCTCTCGATGTCGCCTCGCTGACCGGAATTAGTGCCGGCCGGCGCGGTCGTGCGGTGCTTGCCGGCCCACCTGACGACTGTCTGTGGTGTCACGATGGTAGGCGGACGGGTTCGGACGGCTGACTGCAGTGATAGAGCGAGACATCGATCCTGTGTGCCTCCAGGAGGCCCGGCAGCGGTGAAAACGGCCCGCCCTGGTAACTGCACAATCGACGGGGAGTCGAGCGGAGGGGGAGGGGGGGGGGCGGAGCCGGAGAGGCCTCACCAACAGCTCCCAAGTCCCAACGATAAACTTGGATGGTATCGTTCAAACATCTACATAGGTTGTATTGAACATCACATTGATATTTATGAGTCATCTGGTCATATTTTAAGTTTACTAGGTCTAAGTGTGCTATTTTGGTTATTTTCGATCCCAATCAGATGCTCACCGTCAAATCGGGTGAAGCGATCTCTTATTACATACTTAGAAAGTTCGCTGCCTTCCCTGACGAGCGACGCTCCTTGGCCTCCACCGAAGCTCTTTATCAGTCTAATTCAATCAGTATCGAGATGGCCGGTGTGCGGATCCAGCCCAGGTCGTTCCCCGCCCTGAGGGCATTGGAGCTCTAATAACAGATGATGGCTGAAACCCGATCCACATTAACGTCAGTAGTGCAGAGCGTTCATGGACCTAACTATATAGGGACGTATCGGGAAAATAGATATACTTATATGTTCGGCGGCAGCTGACGTCATACCAGAGGCAGTATATACGCATCCCCGTTTCCAACACTTCGGTTCCAATTAAGACAACATCAGAAAAGGCTTTTAGCGTAATGCCATGCTGAGCGTCATATCGCGACCTAGCCTCGGTGGCAATATCGCGTGTCTTAATAGAAATGACAGCGGCAAAACGCCTCCTTGCAAATTATTTACGATAGGTAACTGAAAAACCAAATATACCTACGCTATTGACGTAAAAGTCCGTTTGCCCTTTTCTGTGTTAACAATGTATGCATCATCTGCGACATTTATGTTTAACTTTTATTTTAGGTTGAGGTAATACCGATTTTGTGACATCAGTACCTATACGTCAGCGTTGGCCACGGCCCCACATACTTACCGCAGATCATGAGTAAAATAGAACTATATATGTACAGGGTGTCCAGAAATTATTTGCCCCTTGTTCATTCAGCTATATTCCCATACATGCAACATTGCACGTTTGAATCGAGAAAGCCAGGCATTAAAATGGCACGTGCATTATCCTGCACTTTTGAAACATACAGGAAGTCAATGCTGATTGGTTTCCGAGACATGCAGGAAAATATGTTTTCCTGCACCTTTCGACGTTTTCCTGCACCCCTCGGCGTTTTCCTGCACCTCTCAACTATATGACGTCATTATGAATGACGTCACATCATAAAGTTGAAGAGCATCACTTTGCTCCTTATAACTTCATTTTATCTATCGTCCATTTTATTTGATTGGCTTATGATATACCTACCTACATTGTGTTTGATGCAAGGATTTTATTATTTGTCATGAATAAAGTGAAACATCACCATATAAAACTTTGACGCTATTTCGCAACAAACCATAACCAGGAAAGACTCAACAAGGTTGAAATTGGGGCGTTTTGGTTCCTCCAAAACATTTGCAACGCTCCCTATAATGGTACGCATGTATGGGAAATAGCTTCCTGCCCTGAGCTGGGAAAATTTAATAGTGTCACCTCGTATTTTAATCGAAAGTACCTCGGGCCTACCGGCCCTCGGTGCTTTCAATTAAAAAACTCGGTGACACAATTAAATTTTCCCAGCCCCGGGCAGGAATGTATTGTCCCACCCGCGCCATGGTGGGGTCTGTTTATAACGAGACCTGGTGGGGGGGGGGGGGGTATTTTTTGCCCACCTCGTATCTCCAAAACTACTAGACGGATCCGCAAAATTCAAACAGCGTTCGAAAGCCCTGTCAAATTTGTCAGAAGAAATCCAATTTCATTGACCTCGGGGTCACCGATGACGGCACAGGTCAGGTTAAAGATAAAATGTTTTGCCGGTCACGGGTCTTCTATAACATCGAGTAAAACGCATTTTTTTCGAAAATCAGCGATAGGGTGTCAGTTGCCAAGTACATATGCCGCTATTGAAGGTCACTGATGGTAAGTACCAGTTTAGGTCACAGGTCAGGTCACCAAGGGTCATCACATGAACCCAATTTCACTAGGGCTGTGTGATGCATGTTTTATGGCCAATTTTTCATTTCAAACCCAATGGTGTTGGTTATCAGGAACGGTTTAGGTCACTTCCTGGTGGAGGTCATCAGGTCAATGTCAGGTCAAAAAGGTCAAAGTTAAAAGTTGATATTTTGCATAAACTGGGTATCGATTCGATGCAGCTCGTCACGGTGAGTCTAATGGTGGTCTTTGTTTTGCACTACGTGGTCTAGAATTGCTAAAAATTGAGTTTGGAAATTTGACGTCATCAATTTTGATCATTTTTTTCGCTATAACTTGGTTAGAAAAGAGGTATCGATCTGAAATTTAGTATGTGAATAGAAGTCGGTAAGGGCTATCACATGTATGTACCTATCCCACATTGATTTCGTTCCGATAATCTATTCTCGGCAACAATATGTCCAGCGATGACGTCAATCTTTTGAGTGCATTCTTTTGTGCACATCCACATGCATAACTTGCGGCTTTTCAGTCGAGGTGACGGTGAATATGATACGAATATGAACACACGTAGGTATTACAAGGGTAAGGATACGGAAAGAATGAATTTAAGTCCTCTCCGTGACCGATTGGATACAAGCGCCGGAATTCGACGCTAAGCCGGTGGGTGATGAGAGCCCGGTTCAAGCCCCGGTGCGGGCGGCCACATTTAGCTCCTACGTGTAATAGCGTGCGTGTCTGTGGCAGGGACCGCACAGAAGCCAGGCAACGTGAGTGAGCGGAGGGGGCCGAGTCTAGTCGTGAGGGCACGTTCAACGTTCGGACAAAATTGCGCCATATAACTGGCATTGTGCGATCGGGTGGTGGGGTCAGGGTCAGCACAACAAGTTATCCTTAGTGCGCGCGGGCTCTGACTCCTCAAGTCCGCCCATTCAACCATTCGGACTAAATTTGTTTATTAAAAAATGACGAAAGTTGTAAGATGGTGGGGCAGAGCTCCAGAACCGCGAGTGCCGCTGCTGCCCAAATGGAGTTGCGTGCATCTGCTGTATGGAAAGGAAAGGGACAAACGTCAGGTCATCATAAATAAATAAATAAAAACGTGATAACAAGATAACCTGACCAAAACATAAATAAACCAATCAATCAATCAATGTGTTTTGGTGTACAGAGGTCTAGGATAACGATGTCTAGATGAATGTATATATGGTAAGCGTATTGCAGGGAACACTGGATAAAAACTCGTCAAACTTCCTGATTTACATACCTTTGCGTCGTCTGAAAGTGAAGAAGATCAGCAGGCATAGGCGCGGGAGCCGGGGGGGCAGTGGGGGCAGCTTGCCCCCCCCCCCCCAACTCTGGGGCCGTGGGGGCGGTGCCCCCACAGCTTTGAGACGGAATACCACACTTTTTTTGCAAATGTTTTCTTTTTTGTTGAAAAAGCCGAGGGGTGAAAAATAAGTGGCCTAAAACCGGTGAGAAAACTAGATTTGGGGGTACACTGAAAAAACAGTGAGAACCCTTTCCGGCATCTGATGCCGAAAAGGGTTCTCATTCTTCCTATTCAATTTAGACAACACATTTTGAGAATGTGTGGAGGGATCACGTGAGCACCCGTTTTAGAGTGCTCATCTGATCCCGGCTTCGCGTCTCATCTGATACCGCTTTCACGTCTCATCTGATTCCGGTATCGCGTCTCATCTGATATGGCTTTAACGTTTCATCTGATTCCGGTATCGCGTCTCAGCTGATACTGCTCTCACGTCTCATCCGATTCTCGAATCGCATCTCAGCCTGTCGGACCCGATAAAATGGGCAAAACCGCACAAAACATTTCATGACAACTCACTATTTATTATAATAGTAATCACAAAAAGACAGTTCCCGGTAACACTATGTGTGACTATGAGTTCCGCCCGTCAACGTGACCCAGGGCAGCCTCTCGCACCAAACGCCTTAACACTAACGCCTTGGTCAGGACTTAACAGTATGTGAGACGAGTTCAGCCCGTCAAGGCGACCCCGGGCAGCCTCTCGCACCAAACGCCTTAACACTAACACCTTGGTCAGGACTTAACAGTATGTGAGACGAGTTCAGCCCGTCAAGGCGACCCCGGGCAGCCTCTCGCACCAAACGCCTTAACACTAACGCCTTGGTCAGGACTTAACAGTATGTGAGACGAGTTCAGCCCGTCAAGGCGACCCCGGGCAGCCTCTCGCACCAAACGCCTTAACACTAACACCTTGGTCAGGACTTAACAGTATGTGAGACGAGTTCAGCCCGTCAAGGCGACCCCGGGCAGCCTCTCGCACCAAACGCCTTAACACTAACACCTTGGTCAGGACTTAACAGTATGTGAGACGAGTTCAGCCCGTCAAGGCGACCCCGGGCAGCCTCTCGCACCAAACGCCTTAACACTAACACCTTGGTCAGGACTTAACAGTATGTGAGACGAGTTCAGCCCGTCAAGGCGACCCCGGGCAGCCTCTCGCACCAAACGCCTTAACACTAACACCTTGGTCAGGACTTAACAGTATGTGAGACGAGTTCAGCCCGTCAAGGCGACCCCGGGCAGCCTCTCGCACCAAACGCCTTAACACTAACACCTTGGTCAGGACTAACACTGTATGACGAGTTCAGCCCGTCAACGCGACCCCGGGAAGTTCACCCGACCGGGCAGCCTCTTGTACCACCACACATACAGGGTGCTTTTAAATACAGACAATTGTTTTGCGTACTGCTCTGGTGTTATTTAAAGCAAAATATTATCAGCATCTCAAATTAATCTGTATTCAATGGTAAGTTATTCACGATGTTTTTCTGCGCCGGTCGAACTTTTTCCTGTAAGCATAGGCCAGCATTAAAAAAAAAAAAAATTGACGGAAAACAGATTTTAGCCCGATGCCGAAGTTCCACGGAAATTTTGCGAAAGTTCTGAGCTATCACCACCCGCATGCACTTCACGCCACAGCTGAAAGGAGCTGTGGCGTGAAAGGCATGCGCGTGGTGACAGCGCATACGTTTTGCAACATTTCCGTAGAAGCTGGGCATCGGGCTAAAATCTGTTTTCCGTCAAAATAAGATATTTAGATTCTGGCCTAGCATACAGGAGAAGGTTCGACCGGCGCAGAAAAACATCGTGAATAACTTACCATTTAATACAGATTAATTTGAGATGCTGATAATATTTTGCTTTAAATAACACCAGAGCAGTACGCAAAACAATTGTCTGTATTTAAAAGCACCCTGTAAGCACCCTTAGTCTAAACTAAACACTAACCATCAAGATCCAAAACATCACAGGCCGACGAAGGCCCGACGGACCTCTACATATGTAGATCATTACAGGCCGACGAAGGCCGAAAGCTTCTCACAGAGCTTCCTACTGGTGCCCGACATGGGCTCGTTCACCCCTAGGGCTTTCTCTTGAACGAACTGCAGCAGCGCGTCCAGACGCCGCTCAGTTTTCACTGCGAACACGGAGTGGGACACCGCCCACAGGAGGAGTCCTTCCCGCTCGTCGGTATACCGACACAGTACCAAGTCCTCAGATTGGACTGTTCCGTCTCTCATTTGGACACGCCCCTCTGAGAGGGCGGTGGACGAAATCTTCAGGATGTCGGTTATCGCCCGCAACACCTCGCCCTCTGAAACATAAATCATGTTTTTTTTTAACATGTTAGCAGGTATGGATTCTAACGGCTGGTTTGAGGGCTCCAGATGGTGGGAGGGGAGGGGAAGGAAGAGAGAACAGTGGAGAGTTAAGTGGAAGGCAGACGGAAGGCATTAACAACAAGAATGCTAACCCAGGGGTAGAGGGGAAAAGGAAGATCGGATCTCATAAGTTAACGTTTTGGGAAAATGATTTTAAGAAGTTGCATTACACAAAATTTTCTTCTATTCTTTAAACTGTATTTTAACACACTTTAAACAATATTTACAAATAATCGTTTAAGCTTTAAAATAGTTTATATCTCGCCCAAAAATTTATGATGGCACCAATTTGAAATTCGGTTACATATTTGTCGCGAACGGGCACGAAATTCGGAAAGCGAACTTCAGGGTGGGCTAGGACGTGGGTCAGGTCTAGTAAAAACCGTTTTAAGTAAAAACAACGTGACAGTCTTCCTTCAATATAAAAGCTAATGACTCACGGTCTTTTGTGAAGAAACGCCGGGACACTGCTTCAAAAGTCCGATTGATGACAGCCCGGGCGGCTTCACGGCGGTCGCTGCCGCAAATGCGGCCGAACTCGTCCCAGACCTACAACAGAGGGTTAACATTGTAATCATGGAAAGATATGTCAAAAGGACTTACTTCGCAAGAAAAACTGTTGGAGGCTGACAATGGTATCTGACTTATTGTCATTAACACGCGTACTGGGGGGAGGGCAAATTCTCCCAGCTGGTGCTTTTTCCTCTTGAAAGACAACTCGAAACGGCCAGGCGTCAACGGCCAGGCGGCGCCCCTGATATGCGTCCGCCCCGACCTAGACCCGCTGCCCCGCCCTTCTGATCTGGTTCACCCGTGCATGATGTCTCGCCGCATCATTTTATTGTGCTGTTAAATGTACCTGTTTTGGTGTAAATAAATTCATTTTCTCCAAACTCGAAACACGGCCGCGCACAGCGCCGAAATATTAATCATACCTACTTAGCATGCAAAACACGTCTTGTGTCAAAATTTGACCCCCTCCCCCCCCCTGGTCAGGGCAAAGTCAAAACTTCATTTCGGACCACGTTCAATACACAAAACTCTGCTGTGGAGTGAGCTGTCAACGAATCACGATTGATTATTGGGGCTTAAGGTCGCGTCGACTACGTGGTCATATTGCGCCCCCGTAACTGTATGCATCCATAGATCGCTACAATATGTATATCTCAACTTTTTTATTCGTGACCTCAGGTCAGGTCAACTACCGACGTCGCCCATTATTAGTCTATGGAGCAAACGTTTAACCCTCGCATGGGCAGGCTATTTCTCATAGCATGGATGGGCAGACGAGTGGGGTTGTTACAACCCCCTCCCAGGCGATTGTAATGAATTTAGAGTCAATTAGAGTCATTCAGAGTTGGTTTGAGTCATTGCAAGTTGTTTACCTAAGAGGTAAAATATTATCAATTTGATGATGCAAGCGATTTAACTTATTCTAATAAGCAAGAGTCGGAGTCAAGGGAGCTTGGTCGACTCCAGCTTTACTCCAGCTCTCTTATCATGACTCCGGCGACTCCGCTTCCCACTTCGCAGCCCTGGTCCCATTTACATTTTTATCTGGTTTGACATTTGACAAACATTTGACGCCTTTAAGAAAATGACCAACCACTAGTGAAATGAAACATGCTGAATGACCTAGCTACCTCTGGTGGCTACTTGGCCAGCTACAGCGGTATCTGTTCACTTGCTCTTACCTCGTTACTATCGAAGAGCCACGGAAACCGCTCTTTCAGCGCCGTCAGGGGCTCCTTCCGCTTTGTGAGCATCGTCCGCCTCGCCACGAATGTCTTCTTTTTCAGCTCAACCGCCTCGGCGGATGAGAGATCCTCCTTGTTTTTCAGGATGTATGTTGCATCCACCAGCTCATCATCTTCGGCGTCAGCCGTGTAGTTGGGAAGGCCAGCAGACGCCGCCGCCTCGCCGCTCAGCCTGGCGCGCTTAGCGCCGCTGCGTTCCTCCGCTGGGTGCCGGTGTCGCTCGTTTCGTAGTTTATTTCTTAGCTTGGACTTCACCGCGTTCTGTGGATATAAGTCACACAACGATGTATTTACACCGTGCTGGGGGTATTACGCTCAAGGGTAATGTATTGGCAATGACAATATTTCATTTGTGGACCTGGGAAACATTGGTTACCGGTAACGAGATAACTAGAGATATTGAAAATTACCTGTTTAAAGATTTCAGCCATTTGTCATTGCACAACTATGGAGATGGCTGAAATTGCATTTTTACGGAAATCAGTTGGGCAAACTAGACCTTTGGAATCAAAATATGGAGGCATCAAAATATTGATTCCTTATGACCATATTTGGGCATAAATGCAGACCATTTCTAACTTACCAATCACATAAAAATAAGAGAGTGTTTCAAGAAGGAGCATGCCTGATCTTGAACAGAAATGCTGGAACTATCTCCTATGCAAAATAATATTGCTCCTATCATACTATCATAATTTGAATTCTATAGGCAGTGAAAGGCAATCAAGTAATTGATTCACTTTAAACAGATAATCATAATATTGATTCCCCATCAGCTGGCTAATCATTATTTTGATTCACAGGTAATGTTAACAGATAGGCAACAATGACTTGCAAGAATACAGCATCTATCTTGCTATTATTCTCATTTAGTGGTATCCTCAGCACCACAACAGATACCTATAGCATTGTTGTACTTTACCTTCACTACATTTGATAACAATTCACAATTTTTAAATGTCAAGAATACAAAAACTGAAGCAACAGGTAAAAACCATATAACAAATATAAAAGCACTACAACAATGATAACTAAGGGTTTGAAAATTTCATTTTGCCATTTTACACAAATACTGATTGTTTATTATGCGATTCATGATACAAAAATAACATACAGTGTGATTTTCTCAAAACAGCTTTTACGTAATGGACAGTGGCTCTGTCTTTTTCCCATTCATAAGGCCAAAGGGACAATTTCTTAGTTTTGAGGTAACACTTTTTGCAATCCTACCACACTTTTCTACCTTTTTAAAGAAAAATCTCACCGTCATGGGCCTTTTTTCAACCGTAACGATACATTTGAAGTCAAAATTGTACCCAAAGGAATCAAAAAATTGATTCCATGCCCATATTTGGTCATAGCTCCTCCCACCAGAATCAAATTATTGATGCCTCCATATTTTGATTCCAAAAGTCTAGTTTGCCCAACTGAAATGAGTGCAATGCCACCTAAATTGGTCATAAACAGGTTTTATTTTATTTTATTTTATTTTATTTATTTTTCATAACATCCACGGGCATGGGCACCCATTGATGGACGTAGTCCCATATACCTACATATTACACACACACACGCACACATACACACACATACACGGATGGAAAATATCAAGCAGACCTAGGTTCGTTAAAAGTATGAGAAAAAGCTGCAGTTCACATCTCCCCGTTCTATCTAATGTGCACAGGGCTGCATCGAGCGGACATACGCTGCTACTCGTTTCTTATACTGTAGCTGGCTATGTTGCCACACATCGACGTCACGGTTTGCGTCCAGAAACATATTGCTGAGCATCGGTATGCGATTGAACAGGCTGTTTTTGACGGTGTTCACCCTAGCGTAAGACACGTGAAAAGTGCTCCAGTTGCGAAGCAGCCGAGTGGGAGCAGCCAAAGGGAATTGAGCCAGAAGAAACGGGGAGTCGATGGCGTGGCGGTGAATGTTACGAATGAACATTGCATCGTGCTGCTCGCGCCTTGCTGCCAGCGTGCTCATGCCGAAAAACTGGATCAAGTCGTTGTACTCGAGCGCTGTATCTGTGACACGGCACCGTGCGCAGAGCCAAATGAGGAATTTGTGTTGGATGCGCTCTATCCTCTTCATGTGAGTTTCGGCTGCGCCTCCCCAAATCACGCTGCAAAATTCTAGTATAGAGCGCACGTTTGCACAGAAGGTGCCTATGATTGGTTTTCTCATTGACTTGTCAAATGTATGGCCGCACTTTCCGGTCTGCAACGTTCGAATAAGAAGCCCTAGAGCTCTGTTAGCACGGTGCACCACGGCGTCAACATGTTCAGCGAACGTCAGCTTCTCATCTATGAGCACGCCAAGATCGCGCATGACTCTCACTCGCTCCAGCTCGACTCCGTCTATCGTGTAGGCGCTGGAGACCGGCTGACGCCTCAATGTCAGGGTGAGCACCTTGCATTTAGCCGCATTGAGCGTCAGGCCCCATTTTGCAGACCACCGGCACAAAGAGTCGATCTGGCGCTGTATGAACTGTACATCTGCGTCGCTGTCTACCTTCCCGTACATCTTCACGTCGTCCGCAAACATGAGTGCGTTCGCCTCTACGTACTCCGGTAGGTCATTAATGAAACACGCAAAGAGCAATGGTGAGAGAATCCCGCCTTCGGGTGTTCCCGACGTTACCGGCGCCCACTCCGAGCACTTGCCCTTCACAACCACCCGCTGCCGCCTCCCAGACAGATACGATTCACACCAATCGAAAGCTTTGTCCGAAATATGGAAAGAATGCTTTAGTTTGTGAAGAAGCAGCTTATGATTAACGCTTTGGAAGGCCGCGGAAAAATCGGTGTAAATCACATCCGTCTGAGAGCCAGCAGAGATGTTGCTCCAGGCAGCGTGCAGCATCGTAGCTAAGTTGGTGACGCATGAACGATGAGGCATGAATCCGAGGCAGGTGTGAGCTTGTTGCGATGGCCCTGCCCTCTACCTTCCGATCGTGCAATTATGGTTGTATGACATAATTTAGGGACAAAGTTTAACATACGCACATACCTGCTCACAGCCTGTCCCTCTCACTGACTTCGACTGACTGCAGTCTGCCACCAACCACAATCATACCCGCCAGGAGGCCAATAACCGTTGAGCGCCCTTAACGCTTTGAACCACCCGGACTGTCATAACCAGAATGCATGCTCTCACCATGCAGAGTCCAACGCTCTAACCAACTAAGCTATGGGACCGGCTCGTAATATCTACCATAATACCACAATACCTACTAAACCTGGTGTAGTAGGTATTATGCTACTTGTATTGGCATTACTGCTCTCATTGATGCCAAAGGATCATCTAAGACTAGAAAATTAATTTCAAATATCAGCGAGAGTCAGTCGGGGAAACTATGGTAAAATCTGCTATTTTTAGCAGAAATCTGCCAAAAATGGGTACGCATGTGACGTCATCGTAACCAAATATAGCAGATTTGGGTACGGCCCCATACAAAAGCAGATCTGCACCCTAATTGAAGCAAATGCGCATCAAATGCCTGGCAGATTCATGATTAGAATAGTGCTGAGAATGTCCTCTGATATTTTTGTTCAGATCCGACTATTTTCAAATAATGAATTTGAAAATAGTCGGATCTGAACAAAAATAGCAGAGATCACCCTCAGCACTATTCTCATCATGAATCTGCCAGGCATTTGATGCACATTTGCTTCAATTAGGGTGTAGATCTGCTTTTGTATGGGGCCGTACCCAAATCTGCTATATTTGGGTATGATGACGTCACATGCGTACCTATTTTTGGCAGATTTCTGCTAAAAATAGCAGACTGCTAAAAATAGCAGATTTTACCATAGTTTCCCCGACTGGAGTGGAAAATTATTCCTCTGCGAGTGCCATCTCCCACCCAAATCAATACTTTATAGTTTATACCTAAGTATGACAAATACAACATAGATCAAATTGTTCTGACACATATGCTTAGAAGCTATTTTCAAGGCTATCATGGCCAGTGTCCACCCAAGCCAACACCTCTGTCCTTTAAAAGAATTTAAAAGAATTAGGTACCCCTGCATCTCACCTGCAGCCAGTTGTGGCGCAATCTCATTCAAAGCTCTCCTCTCCGATTATGTCCAGGACAGCTTTAAATGCATATACATTAGCTTCACTTTGTTTGAAACAGGAAACAGAAACATTCCAACGATTTCATTAAAAAAACTTACCATCCATCACACAAAACCGCCGGCCACAGTCACACTGACGCGATGCCCGCACTCCAATCCGCAGAAAATGGCGCCGGTGAAAAGTGCGCGTCTATCACGAGATCCAATTGCGTAACAGCTTGAGCACCAATCAGCTTCTCATGTTATTCCAAATTTCGTGCTCGCTAGTAAATTCCATCTTGCATGAGCATTAAATAGGTTATCTGAGAGTGAGAGTGAAAATCGACTTACGGGATGCATCGAATCTCAGCTCAAGTGAGAGCTGAATATAGATGAGACCACTAAATGAAATCACTTGAGTAGCATTTCCCGGTCGGCATACGCTGTGAGATCGGCATGCGGCATTCCCTGAGCAGCCTTTGAAAAGAATCTCAAATCGTTTTTTCAGTGTACCCTAGGTTAATCTCTATTATGGTGTGCCCCCCAGTCGGAAAGTAGTTCCCGCGCCCCTGTCAGCAGGAAGATAATATCTGCTCATTTATGTTGGCGTAAAGGGTCTTTGACCAAAGGTTTTGAGAAGTTTATTTCATTTACGAACCGGCTTTCAACTAATTATCATCCAGCCCTGGGCGTTTCTTCAATTAACCATTTCCATTGCATACCTATTACAAGTACCTAATTTACCTCAATCATAGACCTCTGTAGAGGTCTATGCCTCAAGTTATGCGCACATGAATCCTGGGCATAGAAGTCCGAAGGTGGCGCACAGACAAGATCCCCAGGTAGGTATGTTGCGTTGGATACCGAGTCCCGCTCCGTCTATTGGAGGTGACCGGCGGTGCACTGCGCACATTGATCACTGCGGGCGGGGTATAGCGGCTCGGTGCCGCCGCCGACCGTGCAGGACGAGCCCCGGGGGCATCCTTTGTGTCGACGGCGCCGCTCGCTATTAGATACCGGTCCGCTCGGACGCTCTGCCATCTCCGGCGCGGTATTAAAGGGTGCTCAAATAACGCAGCATGGATATCTGTAGGTCGCAGCCAATTTACGTTCTCAAATGGCGGTATTGAGACGGCCCTCAGCCAGTCGTGCACTAGACGCACGAACAAGGTGAAATACGGTTCAAGTGCAATAGCTTTCAGAACCATCGTCTAATTGCCTCGGCAACAGGTCCCTTTTATAACGAAGGAAGCATCCGTAAAGTGGGATCCGTTGGCTACGGTGAAACAAGCTACACTTCCTTGGAAAATAAATGCATTTTATATTATAATAAAAACGTCAAGAGCCCTCGGTCCGCACGGAGCGGTATAGGTCCACGCTCCGAGCATGCTTTTGATCTTTGGTCACTGCACAGTGCACTGGTTGGTGTTGGCAGCATGTAGTCCCATTTCAGCTGTGTACCACTACACTAATCACACATACTCCGTGATTAGTTATTAGTCATTGTCATAGGCGGTGGAACTGTCCAAGACAAGGAAGGCTGATGTTGGTCATCCCCTCATTGCACGAAATATCTTATACACTTTTGACTTAAGCGATCTCTGAATTCCCGGAAGCTGCAATAAAACGCCCTGGTGAAACCTCCCGTTCAACAGCCTATGGCTGAAGTGTGCAGTTTTCCGATGGACAATAACGACGAAGGTCGCGTTGCTGTGTAAGCGTTTCTTATTTCCTCTTGCCTGTAAGGCTGTTACAAGTCTTTCTCTCGGGATATTACACGATTAGACGGATCGCCGATAAATTCGCTAATGCAGATGACATCGTCTCATTTCCACCACAAGTCGGAGCGAGGATAGGTACAGGTGATGTATCTCTTGGTCGTCAATGGCTTTATTAGCTACGTTATTAATTTGGATCTCATGAGAAAAGACGTTTGCTTCTTTTTCAGTAGGGTTGGGTGAGCCTTGGTGAAGTTGAATTCCTTCAGCTCAGATGATAAACATCTGCCCGGATCAGCTTTCTTTTCGACAACAGAAATAAATCCCTAGAATGCAATTTTAATTTTCGCAATACATCCTGTTCACTTGTTTAGCAGTGACTTATTGCAATAGAAGTTGCTTTATGAGGAGAGGCAGCCAGGTGATATTCTAGGATGCCTCTCCGTATGTTCAAAATCATCCAATCTGAATATCCAATATATAACCATATTCCCAAAAGGTTCGGGAAAGTTATGTTAGGCAAAGGTTATAACGGCGCAGGCAGGCTCGCATTCGCCCATGATGTATTTTTATCGACCTCCTTTATTGACGGACATGCTCTCGACATTTAGCTGCCTGGCTACCCACCCTGCAGGCTAACACAGATCGCGGACGCCGCGGCGGGAGCGGCTGCTGTGCGCTCAGCGCATACTGTAGCGGCGGCTCTGCGCTGGTAGGCTAGCCCGCAGTGGCGGCGTGTCAGGCGGCACAGTCTACCTTCCCACTAGCTGCCGCCGCGCGACGGCACGCCGCCACAGCGCTGAAAATGCACTGCACGGGTGAGGCTGACGCGGGACGCCTCGTGGCTCGTGGTCTCCTTTCTTTAATCCTTAGTACTCGTCGGAAGCACATAAGAAGTGAAATCGCTACACGTATGATTGATGAATGCAGTATGCGTTTTCCTTTCCAGATTGAGATGTGAGAGCTATAGCGAAGCCGACCACAGTAAATCCAGTAGACCTATGCATCAGATCTTGTTTGCGGAGAGACTTTTAGGTATCTCCTATCGATGTCGATCGGCATCTAATGACTAGCCGAGCGACCACTGCCGTTTTAAAGTATTTGTAAACTCATCGCTGGGTAGCGCCTTTATAGCATGTGTTTCTTCTAACTAAGAAACAAGGCGATGATGAACAGCGATGCATGACTGGTCACGAAAGGAAACCAAATAGGACATTGCGAGCGCCGCTTTAACCTTCCATATTTTAATTAACCCGCGCCCGGCTGGGGGTCCTGGATTTCCACGCCCTGCTGGGGGGGGGGGGTGTTTGAACACCCCCCCCCCCCCTTGTAACTCGGCTCCTGGGCCACGTAGCGATACGCGGAAGGCGGCGTTCGAAAGAGCGTCAAAAATAATGACGAAATCACTTCGGTCAATTTTTTGGTCAGGTCAAAGGTCAGGTCACCAGAGGTCATTGAAGGCAAAATTTCGCCGATTTCCAGGTCGAATGGCGAAAATTTCCAAGAAGCCAACGCATAACTCGGGAACCAATAGAGCTACAGCGCCGCGGAAAAGCGCATTCGATAGCCCTATTAACGCCCTTTCTGAGTAATTCTCTCAGATTTGACCTAACGTCAACGGTTTTGCCTGCAGGGGGCAAAAACTGCAAAAATAGCCGATTTTTTCGGAAACAGTTTTTCTTCAATAACTTTTGACCCAAGCCCTGAACGAGCTTACTTTTACCGGCATCGTGTTCCTCTCGTCAAGACGCATCGAATGAACTATAACTTGACCTTGAAAGGTCAACTTGAAAATTTGACCTCAGGTCAAGGTCATGACCTGACCGGAAAGGGTCATGTTGCATATCAGTCGATCCGTATCGTCGAGCTGAACACATCTAAGGCGTTTTCATCGCTCTAGCATGCCTCTATCAAAAGTTATTTGCGAAAAACTGTTAGATACCATTCGTGACCTAAGATGACCTCAGGGCATAAACAAGGGTCACGGACACCATTTTCATGTTCAGTGTGTCTAAACCACTTGTAATTCGGTGTTTGGGAGTGTTTATAATGTCTTTCATCCAAAAGAGGCGCATTTCAATTTTCTCCCATTGACTTATAATGGTGAGGTCGCAAAATTGACCTGACCTTAGGTCATCGATATCAAAATTCTGAGATATACATTTTGTACATGCTATTGCTCTTAGCAATCGCTGAAAGTTTCAAAGCGATCGGTCACTCGGTGTAGCTATGACAGACATTGAAACTTTTTATGAGGTGAGGTCACTTCAAGTGACCTGGTGACCTGACCTTGAATGACCTTGGTCTGAAATTTTCACAACATGTGTATAATTGATGTATGATAAGGTGTACCAAAAACGGCGGCGCTCCGCGCCGCCGTTTTTGAGATATTCGCGAAAAACCACAAGGGGGGGTGTTCAAACACCCCCCCCCCAGCAGGGCGCGGGTTAATCAGACCAATGCAGCAGCCTCACACTGTCATTATAGAACTGCGAGGAAAGTACCAGTTGCATCGTGCTAACTGTTAACCGGTGGCCTACTCATCTATATCTACTCAAATACGGCATGAATATGTAGACATATAGGTACCCATGGCGACACATTCCGCATGCAATTCTGATCCCAGATCAGACCACAAATCCAGCTGGGCGACCGCAGCCTACAGATCAGCAGGCCGTCGTTCGGTCTTTAGCCGTCGGACCATGAAGGTACCCCTAACGACAGCTCAACTGATCGTAAAGCCATCCGAACGACGCGGCCAGCGTCGCCCGACGACAGGGGCGGGCTCAACAGACGTCAGCGCAGCGATTTTCAGGGCGATTATTTTCAGCTGAGGTCCACCCAGTAGAGGCGTAAATTTTACGAGCAGGGTGCAACTGACACTGCCATGAGCGATGAAAAGTGCCGATATGAATGGAGCTTGGATGGAGTTCGAAATGTGACCATTGATCGGAGATATATGACAACAAAGCGTCCGAAAGAAGGCAGCTAGCACGTCAGTCTCTGTTTGACATTGCATTCTACCGTGCACAGCCAGGAACGTTGTTCAATACAAGTGCTGTTGAACGCTGCCCACTTCAAGTTCACAATGATGTAATTGTACAAGCATCATTTCAGTGTAGTCTGTGTAGTGTATGTAACTATGCATTACCCAGTAATGACGTTGGTTGACCCTGACGGGTTGGTTTGACGGGTCCCAGGTCATACGTAGACGCCCTCGTATTCCCTCCTAACCCATCCCTGAGACCCTGAGTCAGGCTCAGTTTTGGCCTCCTCCGACCTTAGCATGGGCTCGGCTTCATGGGCGCAAAGCATGGACGCTCGATGTCTCCTCGTTAGAGCGAATACCTATAATTACTATAGCTGACTGTATATATCTGGTAATGTGCGGATTCCTTTAAAATATTGGTAGGTAAGGTACATACGAACATCTAACAAATGTATAACCTGCCTTCATCATAAACAGGCCTAATCGTAACTATGAGATATAATTTACGATGTGCTTGGGCATAAATTACGCGCCGTAAAACGCCACAGACAGATTAAGCGCCCATCTCAGCTCGTAGTTATAACGCCATCATCACAAAATATACGAACTTACCAGGCCCACACAGGAGCTCAATAATGTCAACAGAAGCCGTTTGACATTATCGTGAATACCCACTCAACTTCGTATAAATTATATCTATTAAATATCTACGCTTGTCTTCCTAGTCCCAAAAACATACGCAAAGTAAAAACTACAATAACAGACCTTTCTTCAGTGTCACGACAAGTTTCATGCATGCCCAAATCAATCAAGCTCTAACAACCCACTCTTGCCCAAACTTGTATCTAAAAGTTTTATTTAGACCAGAGAAACAAGCAAAGTCGAAACCCAATGGAGTCAGGCAGTCTTGCATTAAAAGCGTGACGGCGCTATTTCAACTTAAACTAACCTTTGACGCTGGAAAGGTAGAACTCTTCAACAGCATGCGTCATTGAACTCCGTACGCAGTTTTGCGAGTTGCCGACGAACTTTCTAAAGGGGGTAGGGGAGCTTGGGCGTCTACCTTCAAACGCCCAGAGGGGGTAGCCGTTATCAGCAATCTTACTGAGCTCACTAGGGAGGGCTCCTGAATTTCGCGGACCGAGGAAGTTTCGCTTTACCACTGGGAAATAGACAAAAGACCCGATGCACAGTCTCCAGAGCGCAGAGCGCACCTTTGCTAGCTGTGCTCCCGCATGTCGTTGAAGCAAGCCAACCAGCAGCGCAACTCATCTTTAAAGGCAGCGTACCATCCGGAGTGAAGTTTTCGTTTTGTTTTTGTTTTTCAGCGACTTTTTCATTTTCACCAAAGGAGATTCCAAAACGAAGTAGTGGCTTAGCGGCTGATCTCGTTAAACTCGAAACATAAGAAAGAGTCACACAAACGAAACAATAAGCTTAACAGCTTAGAAGAGCTACGCATTTACGCTCTGTCTGCCGTACCAGTCTGCACATACTCGTTGGAAGATTCTCGAGTTTCAGACACTGAAAATAATTCAGCTATCATAGAGTATACCCAAAGTCCACATCTAAAGTAACACATCTAGTCCACATCTAAAGTTAGTTAAGAATCAGCAGGTAACGAACTCGGAAAACTCTTCCGCGAATCACACTATACTTCGCTTTTGTTGCGGTCCTAAACCCAATTACTTCCGTTTGCCGTATCGCCCCGCCAACTTCTCCCGGCATTCGGAAGGAGCTGCTGGCCGACCCGAGCCGAGCCCCTGTACAAACAGACGAGCTGAGGGCCGCAGTCGTGTATTGGTTTCGGGCGGACGGTGGGCAGTGTGCGAGTACTCTCCAGCGGCAGCGGCGGCGGTGTGGCCGCACCTCACGGAGGTCAGCTCGGGGCGGCGGTGGGAGGTCGCCCAGCGTGACACGGGCGCACGGGAGTGCCCAGACACGGGCGTACGGGAGCGCCCAGACACGGGCGCACAGGAGCGCACAGACACGGGCGCACGGGAGCGCACAGACATGACACACGTGGCCCAGCCAGACGTGACACGAACGCACTACAACCCGACCAGTCTGCCTCGGACCAAGCTGGGGGGTGTTGTACTGTCTCGGAACCCATCACAGGTTCTACGGTTTATCGTCTCGGAACCCGCGTCACGGGTTCTCCGCCACCTCACATCACGCCAGCGTCACGCCGTCACACTGCGTTACACGGCGTCCACAGCCGCGTAACAGCGGTGGGCGGCGCCCACTCTGCACTAAGTACACACTGCACGAGCCACCGCGCGCGGCGGGCGGCCCTGCCTGCCGGTGACAGGCCATGCTCCGCGGCGCCGCGCACGGCGGCACTCCGGCACCGACAGCTCTCTATCCGCCGAGTGGCCGAGGGCCGCGCACACGTCAGTGCCGACAATGTCGCTAACTGACCGCCGGTGACGCCACGGACCGTGGTGACGGTACAATCACAATCAGCAGCACAGCCTGTCCTCAACCGGCGCCGCAGGGAGCGGGCCCGCGGCGCCGCGCAACCGCCTCAACGTGGCTCCGGCTTTATATACACATTCTGAAGCGTTAATAGAGGACCCAGTCCGGTTCGGGACGGCCTATTCTACTACAGACACACCGAAGAAAAACAGATTGAGTGGTTCATTGCGAACCAGGCAAACGAGACTAGTCGTGTTATCTCGTCAGTTGATCAAACTAATTGTACCTTTGGTGTTGATAAAATATGGCCTCCCTCTCACCGCCGCAGCCTTCCTTCCTCTCGTCAGCAATTTGTGCTCAGCTAAAACACGCCACGGACTCCTCAGAGCCCAAAGCCAGAGTGTCCCTGAGGCGCACCATCCCAGGCACCCGTACTATTCCACGCTAAAACTTGCACGCCAGTCGATTTTTGGGCGCCCGTCGGAAGAGGCGGGCGCGGCCGGCCGGCTTTTTGGGAGGCGCCGCGCCCGGCTGGTCGGCCGCGGCCGCCTGCCCCTCCGCGGCCGGCGTAGCGGCGGACGGACCGGCCCCGTTGGCGGCGGCCGGCGCGGCACCCCCGGCCGGCGCGGCGACCTTCTCCGGCCCGGCAGCCGCGGGCGCGGCCTCTCCGGTCACAGGCTTCTTCCGCCCGCCGCCGGCCGGTCCCGCCTCCGCCTTCTTGGGCGTGCCCTTCTTGGTCACCTGCATGGGCACGAAGCCGCCGTGTCGGCCGCCGTTCACGGCTGAGCGGCCGCCCTGGCCGGCCGGGGCGGGGGCGGGGGCGGAGTGGGTCGACTTCCTGGGCCGGCCGTGACTCTGGGCGGGGGCGGGGGCGGCAGAGTGCGGCTGTCTGCCGGCCGCCGCCGGCTGGCCGCCCGGGCCGCCGGCCGGCTGTCCCAGCATCTGCAGTAGGCTGTGCGTTATGTCCCCGGTGGCCGGCGGCGGCTGCGTGGCGCGCACTGGTGTGCGCAGCATGTTCAGGAAGTCGGCACCTGCCGGAGACAGCACCCGTCAGTCAGTCCGTCCCTGTCACCGGGCGGCGCGTCACTGAGACTTGGCCGCGCCGTCAGCGCCATTAGCCGGAGATCAGTCACCTGCGCCATAAATGTCACAGCGGCCACCTGCGCCGCGACAGCCGCCGGCCCGGATACGGCCAGACGTTAGCACAGTCACCGCCAGCTGGCTGGCTCGTTAGGACCGCACACGGTTAATTAAACTGCATTTGCTACCGTCCCGGCAGTCTGGAGAGCACCATTCACTCCACAGTCATAAAGCTGGGACCTAGGCACGACCAATTTGCAGTAACATAATTTGCACTCACGAAATAAGTAGTGTTCGAAGAGAAAGGTCAACCAGGTTTACTGCAATCGTTGGTGAGGCTTTGAGTAGCACATGATTGGCGGCTCCGGGTTCAACCACTTTAACCAGAAACGACTTATCGAAACAGTCCGTTGTTGGGGACAGTAATAGTTAGTAGGGCTATCGATTGCAGAACCATAGGTGCTCGTAAAAAAAAAACTTGAAACTTGATCTACAACTTACTTGGAGATTAGCCCACTTCAAATAAATTGCACGATGTGCGACCAACATTTATGGCTCATAGGTTATTGACCAGGCGAAACCTGTTAAGAAGATAAGGCATTGACCAAACATTTTTTCCTCTATTCTTAAAGACGCTCCAAAACCACAACTTAGAAGAATATTCGCCGGTCTCTCGTCATCTCTTAACCCGCGCCCCACTGGGGGGGGGGCTATTTATAGCCCCCCTCCCGTTTTTCTGCAATAACTTCCAAACCGCTTGACGAATCGACGCCAAACTTTCAGTACCTTCGGCTGCATCAATTTGACACCTTGTGTCAAAATTTGAACTTCGTAGCTACCATAGACCGGCCGGAAATGACGTCAGAGTGACGTCATGTTCGTCCGATTTCGACGCAAAACATTGAACCACGGCAATCGCTCCCAAGAGCTCAGTTTTTAAGCTAGATCCAATTTCTTTGCATGAAAGGACTCAGAATTGAACGCGCTATCAAACTGCTATCTCGGATTTTCAAAATGTTGAAAATTTCGAAAATTTTATATAAAAATATTCAAAATTTATATTTTTATGTTTTTTCAAAAAGTTTTTGACTTTTCGAAAAAAAACGGAATATATGTGACAGAACGCATGATAATGACTAACTCTAGCAAGTTTTAGCTAAATATCTTCAAAAATGGCCAAGTTATACGCATTATTGCAAAAAATTCACAATTATTAATTTTTCAAATCATTTTTTCAGTACGTATTTGACACCGTACACCAATATAAATGGTACCATTGTGTTCCTGAGCTCAAACTGCCTCCAATAGACACCTTTTTTGTTGAAAAATTTTAACTTCAAAATTTGACCTTTTTTGACCTGAAAATGACCTGACCGAAGCTAAATTCGACTCAAAATGACCTCGAATGACACAGACATCAAATTCGAAATCTATTGCCTAAATGGACCATAAAACATGTATCACGTGACCGACGCATGATATAATATTTTCGTGACCTGTGATGACCTGACCCTGACCTGAAAATCAAAGTACAAGTTTGGTACCCTCAAGGTATCTAGAGCATCTGTTGACGAGTGTGGAAACCAAAAATGAGCCTGATCTGACTTGTAAGACGGCGGCCAGAGCCCAAAATGTGAACAAGCCAAAGTGCTAATAATTTTTACTTTGACCTGACCTGTGACGTCATCGGTGACCTCGAGGTCAATGAAATTAGGTTTCGCTCGACAGTTTTTCCGGGGCTATCAGACGCCGTTTGAATTTTGACGATCGGCCCAGTAGTTTCGGAGTTAGGAGGGGGGGGGGGGCTATGAATAGCCCCCCCCCCCCCAGTAGGGCGTGTTATACACAGACCCCAGTGGGGCGCGGGTTAAAAGCCCGGCCACGAAAAGCACCAGTCCGGTTGATAAAACCGGCTGAGTCGTTAGCTCGCCGGCGGGGCTCGGCAGCCGGCGCGGGCCCCGCTGTTCCAGACGGGCCCCGCTGTCCCAGACACCGGGCAGACTCTCCGGCCGCGGTCGCCGCGTACCATCGCCGGTGTGTTTGGCCCGCGGCCGGCGACACTGCCGCAGCGGTCAGTGGCGCCGCCCACTGCTCTATGGTCGCATTGTCTGGTTTAGTTCATCAACTTTTTCACTTGACTATTGATAATGGACTATTGACTTTCCCACACGTCGGTCTTTCTGGCAAGTACTTGCGGTCGCATTTCATTGTAAGCTATCGTATAAAATGCAACCCATTTTATGCATGTCAAGCACAAGATGCGATCTACTGTGATATGACAACATGCTACTGAAGTGCCGACCACAACGCCCGCACACATCCGCAAGGAGCTCCTGCGAAGTGGATGCCACAAAAGCGTTGACATCAGACATGTGGAAGAGAATTGACCATTTTCTGGCCAATTTAACGCCTCGTGTTTTAGCAGAAGCGCAAGGCTGACTGCTTTGATCACAATAAATGCAGCACACCGATGCTGGGCGAATATCTGAGACACAGTCTCGTAGGAGACCCAATCAGCAATAACAGATTTTCAAGAACGCAGAGATCAAGAAGGCTGACAAATACTGACGGCGCAGGACTCAGCGCGGGCGCACGTGCAAGCACACGTGCGGTACTGATACATACCTACATCAGCTGAGAGCCAGCTCTCCGCACTACAATGTGGTTTGGTCGCCGGCCCATTTTGGTCAGTAGGGCGCCGAGTAGTTGCCGAGCTGACGCGGTCGCCGGTCAGTGTCCGCGTCTGAGCGCTGGGACTGCTCACCTGCGGCCGGTGGTTGCTGCTGCCGGCCCCCGCCGCCGCTCGGTCGGCCGCCCGCTGTTGCCGCTGTCACTGTAGTCGCTGCTGGTGGCTGGGTCGGGGACCCCAGCTCGCTCAGGGCAGCCGCCGCCGCCAGAGAGGCCGCCTGGACACAGCACACACAGGTCACGGTCAAAGGACGGCGCATTTCACGGTCACCCTACAGTACAGATAACAGTTAACAACGAGATCGCGGCCAAATCACAGAGAGCAATGCCTCCCTTTTGCCATTCTAGTCAACATTCCAAGCACATCAACGCTGCTCGGCATGTGAATAATAACAGGCGACACTGTTGCGTCATGACCATTTTTAGACATTGCCTTCAAGTACCGGCACAGTATAGTCCAACCAATCTTCATTTTCTTTCCTAACTAACTTTGGAAAATTCTTGCATCAGCCAGGAGCTCTCAGGAAAACTCGCCGGCCAATCAGTCATGCGCGCGGGGATGATGCACACAAATTATAATAACGAGGGTGGAGCAGTCCAAATAACGAGTGGATCAGTCCACATCACGAGTGGATCAGTCCACATAACGGAGCAGTCGACAGCAGACACCGAGGACCGATGGGGGCCGAAGGCGGTTGGTGGGCCGAAGGTTCAGTCAAACGCGATCAACATTTGATCAGGAGCTCGCAAATTGCTAATAGTCATGTCCCATTAATATCATACGGAGCTTCGCACTACTGAGCTCGTGTATTGCGTGAGTTGTGAAGAAAATGAAGGGATCAATGGCCCCAAAAATGGCGCACTACCCGAGACAAAACTAAGCGATAACGGTTGACTTGGTCCGTATCTGTGCTGGGTTCTCTATAGTCTGAAATAATTGATATGAAACTGCCAAAACGACTGCGAACTACAAAACACCACAAAATGTACATTGAACGTCATGAATAGCTTACAATAACGTACGTTCTACGAAGTGTGCTCGCTAAAGCAGCTTGTTATGGTGTTGACTGTTACGTGTTCTTGCCGTTGCTCGTCGTCAGGTTCACCTGCATCCATTTAATCACCTACGCAGAAGTGATATTTTTGTCGATGAAGTGCCATTTTTAATGTTCCTCAGGTAAATGACTAGGTATAACTCGCTTTTTTCGGGCTGGGTGTTAAGAGGTAAAAAATTGTTAGCCCGAAAAAAAACGATTTATAGTGATAAGCTTGTTGAACTATAAATGTAGTTTATTATTATATATAATATACCACGCTGTATTGTGTATAAAAAATGCAATGTTACAATATCATGTGTCAGTCAGTCGGTCAAACAGTCGCAGCTGGCCGCCGTCACACCATATTGCTGCTATCCTGTAACCCAGGCCGTCAGACATCCAGGACTGGCTGCCCGGCCCGTCTGATTACCTCCAGTAACATGATTCGGAGCAGAGGTGTATTCTTAGTCCGGTGGTGTTCAATTTTCATATATAATTTGAACAACAAGACACAACTGAGTTTGCAAATAATTTGAAACTTTTTGGAAAGGCCGAAAATGCCTCTGAGAGTATGTCGTCACTCTCAGAACTCAAGGACTTGCGATGTTTCACAACTAAGATTGAGAGAATCATTGACCAAACTCCCCCTCCCCCTAATGAGACAACAATAGGCAAAACTTTGAACGTCTGGGTAGCAAAACAGCACAACGCGACAACGGATCTCGCTCTATCGCGAACAGAGTCGCTGGTATATTCGGCCCACCCGCCGCCGACTGTCGGACCGTTTCGCGGCTCGGCGGCAGCCGCCAGCAGCCGGTCAAACCCACCAGTCGCTGCGGTACCCGTTCCAGCGTCCCCCGCCGCTGACCGACGCCCGGCCGAATCCTAACCGTCACGTCCGCGTCAAATGGCGCCGTCACCGGGCGCCGGTTACATAATCACCCCAGTCACATCCGTCAGCCGCCTCCGCGCGCCCGCACCCACAGACAGACACACCGAGACACGTGCTACACCGCGTCAGCACTCAGCATATCGCGCCCGCGCCCACAGACAGACACACCGAGACACGTGCTACACCGAGTCAGCATACTGGGCCCCACCGGCCAGACGGATCGTATATTGTGGTTAACGTTAACAAGATAAATGTAGTGCATGGTAAGGCCGACGATTGTGACATGTATTGTAAGGAAAGAAGAAATGACCTGGAAGAACACTGCCCAGGGGAAGGAAGCACTGACCTGGGCCCAATCTTACCAATGGCGTAAATAGGATTTGGCAGCACTGGCCGGAGTTAACGGCTCTGATGCAAAAATATCCCTTTTATTTACTCCCCTCTTATCTTGTCTAATGATTTTGATAGCGTGAATGATAATGAATGTTGCCTGAACGAATGAATAAGTAAATGTGGAATAGTTCTGAATGTTACCAAATGCCGTGAATGCGCATTCACGGCATTTGGTAAGATTGGACCCTGGTCCCGGCTGGGGGAGGGGTACTGATCTGGTCCCGGCTGGGGAAGGGAGGGGTACTGACCTGGTCCCGGCTGGGGAAGGGTAATACTGACCTGGTCCCGGCTGGGGGTACTGACCGGTCTCTGCTGGGGGAGGGACCACTGACCTGGTCCCGGCTGGGGGAGGGGTACTGATCTGGTCCCGGCTGGGAGGGGGAGGGACCACTGACCTGGTCGCGGCTGGGAGCACTGACCTGGTCCCGGCTGGGGAGGGGTTGGTACTGACCTGATCCCGGCTGGGAGGGGGAGGGACCACTGGCCTGGTCCCTGCTGGGGTCGGGGGGGGGGGGGTACTGGCCTGGTCCCGGCTGGGGTACTGACCTGGTCCCGGCTGGGAGGGGGCGGGGTACTGACCTGATCCCGGCTGGGAGGGGGAGGGACCACTGACCTGGTCCCGGCTGGGGGCGGTCCCGCCGCGGACAGACCGGCCGCTGGGCAGCACCACCGTGGCCACGAACGAGCCTCCGTCTGAGGCAACATACGTGTACCGAGGTACCCCTGAAAGCAGAGGACACAACTCACTACAGACAGAGTACACAGGGTCCGACACAACCCCCACCAACGAGCCTCCGTCTGACGCTAGGCAAAACTTTAGGCAAAACTTTGCCTAAAGTTTGAAACGGAGGACCCGCTGCACTTCGTGGCGGAGGCCGCCCCCGTGCCGCGCCTCAAGTCCGTGACCGGATGGAGAGACCGAGGGAGAGCGGTGTGGGACCGCGCCGGCGTGGAGCTACCCGTCGAGGCTCGCCTAGCCACGAGGCCGCCCCCGTGGACAGCGACGGAAAACGTGACGATCCGCCTGGACATCGGCCCGCTCCCGATCGGAGCGACCGCGTCGATGAGGCGAAGCGCTGCGGAGGCGTGCCTGGGAGCGCTCCCCCAGTGTGCGACGTGGGCCTGGACCGACGGGTCGGCGACCGGCGGAGTGACGAATGGCGGTGCCGGGGTCCTAATCGAACACCCAGACGGAACGACGGAAGCTCTGCGAGAGGCGGCGGGAAAAATATGCTCTAGCTACCGGGCTGAGATGGTGGCGCTGAAGACGGCAGTGCGACATCTCCTGGAGCACCCACCCCTCGAACAGGATATCATCATATGCTCCGACTCACAGGCGTCACTTGCGACGCTGAGAGGAGGACCAGCGGCCCAGACGTCCCCTCTAGGTGCCGCCATCTGGGAGCACATGGCGGCACTGGTGGCTGGCGGGGACCGTAGGGTCCACCTCCAATGGGTGCCGTCCCACTGTGAGCTGGAGGGAAATGAGCGGGTGGACGCTATCGCCAAGGAAGCCGCCGCCCTCCCACAGCAGGGAGTCCCGGTTGACGTCCGCACAGTGTACCGTGCGGCGTCCCGGATGGCCAGAAAGGAGGCGATCAGCAACTGGCCGGACGGCTGGTATAGGCGGCTGATGGACGGCCACCTACCCGCACCGCTGCCCAGCACTACTCCACGAGAGGTGGCGGTTGATGTGCACCAACTGCGCGCTGGTCACTGGTCGGGATCTGCGCAGTACCTGCATCGGATCGGCAGGAACCCCGGCCGGGACTGCGCGCAGTGCAACTCGCTGACGTGCCGGGCGGCCGGCTGCCGCTGCTGTGGCGAAGAGGAGGCAGACACGCCGGCACACATCCTGCTACGCTGCCCGGCACTGATGCGACTACGCCTACGACATCTAGGCAACATACACCCGAGCGAGGAGGAGGTCCGAGGCAGCGGCGTGGTGGCGGCCCTGGGGGCCGCCGCCAGGTACCTCCAGAGCCGAGAGGCTACGTAGCGACCGCTGCGTGGGGAAAAAACAACAACAACAACAGCCTCCGTCTGAGGCCATTAGCTGGTGTACCGAGGTACATATGTACATACCTACCCCTGAAAACAGTGCACACCGGTCGGATTACACACAACACCGCGAGTGCAATGCACACTGCATACTGCACAGGGGCCGACGACACCCTGTGGCAACACTGAACCAGAGGTGCCCCCGAGCATACGAACTCGTTCACCGACCGATCCCCGGTCTCTGTTTTCAGAGACAGAAACAGGTAAGGTAAGGAATAAAAGATGGCTAATAAACGTCATGTACAGGTCTCGCCGGTTTTAGCGGTAGGTTTTGCACTTAGAAAATTTAGTGTACTTCAGGCGATATCTTCGTCGTCTTAAGCTTTTAAGTGTTGAAGATGCGATCGACTTGTTGGGTAACAAGTCGGTCACGATCGTGTAAAATGACTTCATCGTAGATCGATTAGTTTCTCAGATATAAGCGGAAATGTAAAAATTCACAAACTACCGCTTAATCTCGCGAGAGCCATACCCACGCAGTGTGCATCTTTAAGTCGTATCATAAACACGAGTAAAAATATATTTGCCTGCGTTAAAGTCAAATAAAAATGAATAAATCTATATTATGAATAATGCTTTCATGCTGGCTCAATAAATAGAAATTCCAATGAAAACAACGAGACGAGCGTCCAAATCAGAAATGAACTTGTCATTCATGCAGACATCAAACATCAATTGTAGGTTTCATTAACGAACAATCGTTCATGAAAGACATGTCTGCCAACTGCTCATAACTAGAAGAAATTTCCGCTCAACAAAATATCCGGGTGCGCATTACTTCGCGTCGCATTTCGTCCAGGAACTGTGTTAGCACACAACGATAAACTGATCACTAATGGTATTCCAACGCTGCCATCTCGTGTGAATGCACCCTACTGAGGCGATAGACGATAGATGTAATCATTAGGAAGGCATGCCGTCACGCAGCTCGCAATGTTCACCTTCCTACGAACCGCACTGCCCGAGCCTCAGTCTGAGCGCTGGCAATGTCTGACTGCAACGCGCCGTGCGGAGACCGGCTATTGAGTTGAGCGCCACCCGCATACCAATTAGTGGGCGCACACCGGCGCCATTTACTGCAGCGGTGTGCGGACACGCTGTGCCTATTCACTGCCGCGGTGTATAAGTATACGGACACAGCCGGCCGTCAGGAGCAGTCCGGGCAGACAGGGGGGAGGGGGAGGGGAGCCGGGCCGGCGCGATCCGAGTCCCGTCCCTCTCCTGGCAGCGGTATCGCTCCCCTCCGTCTTCTGTCGGCCATCGATCACGGCACCACTCTCGGCGACTGCCGGCCGGCCGTCCCGGGCATCCACCTATCAACACCCCCGCGGATCACCCTCCGTCCCGGCCGCCCGAACCCCTATCAACACCCCCGACTGTCGCCGACCGGTCGAGTGCCGTTCGGTGTCGGGATTCTATATCAGCATACTGCCACATTGCTGGCGCTTCTCGGCTTCTTATTGAAGAAATTTACGTGGGGTCTGTTGATAAACAATGAGAGACCGCAAAACGCTAGCAAGTAGCTTCCATAAATGACAGAACCGGCAGCATGCAGCCGGCTCTAGCGAACAGTGGCGACAGAACAGTGGTCCGTTCCAACACATCTAGCCTGTGTTCGGCATCCGGAAAATGAGGGCTAATTTTCCGGGATCACCGGTAGCATTCGGAGTTTTAGGCTCACACCCTGCACCACGGATATGACAACGAGTAATAGAACCATTAGGGAAACAATAGCAATCTAAAACGTGACTTATTGCATCGATGGTCCCTGCAATACCAAATAATGACCGGTGGTCCCGGAAAATTATCCCTCATTTTCCAGATGCCGAACGCACGCCTAATCTGGAACCGAGCTCCCACCTGACGGTCGTGTCTTCGTCCCCCAGTTACCGGCGCTACCACCTACAGCTGATGATGGTGATGGATTGGGGTTTTTGGGCGCCCGGACTTGGGACTGCAGCTGACCAGCGGGCCCCGCGCCCCTGTGTAATCTCACACCTAGCGGGCCACCCGCTCTGATCACCCCCCCCCCCTCCACCTGTCCGGCGGCCACCCCCCCCCCCCCCCCACCTGTCCGGCGGCCACCCGCTCTGTGAACCCCCCCCCCACACACACACCTGTCCGACGGCCACCCGCTCTGATCACCCCCCCCCCCCACCTGTCCGGCGGCCACCCGCTCTGATCACCCCCCCCCCACCTGTCCGGCGGCCACCCGCTCTAATCACCCCCCACCTGTCCGGCGGCCACCCGCTCTAATCACCCCCCACCTGTCCGGCAGCCACCCGCTCTGATCACCCCCACCTGTCCGGCGGCCACCCGCTCTGATCACCCCCCCCCCCCCCCTGTCCGGCGGCCACCCGCTCTGCTCACCCCCACCTGTCCGGCGGCCACCCGCACTGATCACCCCCACCTACCGCCGTCCGTGTTCTGCAGCAGCCGCAGCAGACGGTCACAGGAGTCGAGCTGCTGGGCGGGGCGGACCGGCTGGGCCGGGGCCGGGGTCGGCCGGACGGGGTGCGCCGGGGCCTCAGCGGGCGGCTGTAACACACAGACACAGCCGTCACCACTCACCCAGTCTACACCCGCACAGACGTCAGCCGCGCCGCCTGAGCTGCGGGCACACAGAGTGGTCAGTGCAGCGGTTCGGATTGGAGATGTAGCAGCGAGGATTGACACGGGGCAATAATGTTTGCTTTCGTTAACTGCGATATACCTTTGAACCAACAAAATGAGAGAGGCGAAAGAAACAAATGTGAAGACGACTGTGGAATCTTTCCTCATGTTATGTTATGACGTTTGTAGAGGAAAGCGTTACACTAAAAAAGTTTATTTGAAACCGAAAACAATGCATATTTATGAGCCCATAAAAATTAACCCTCGCATGTGTAGGGGGGGGGGGTCGGATGGACCCCCCCCCATGGTTTTTCGCGAATAACTCGCGTAAAAAGCGGCCGATCGCGACGAAATTTTCAGTACCCTCGCATTGATCAATTTTACACCTACCCTGAAAATTTCATGACCCTGACCCAAATGACCTTTGACCTGTGACCTCTTTTCCGAGACCATGTTTGGCCGGAATCGCGATTTCGCGTATGTCGGCTCGCACTAGCCGCGTGTTTGCAAGCTTTTCGTGGTTTCAAACGTTCAAACATGTTATTTGATGTTACTCCCGTGTGTGTGTCAAGGTCACCTGAAGGTCAGGTCAGGTCATTGACCTTTGGTGACCTCGGGTGACCTCGGGTCACTTTTTCGAGTTTTACATGTTTCTAGGCTAGTTTTTGGAGCTGAATTCGAATTTAGCAACCATTTGAACATTCACGAAGTAGTTTTGGTGACTTCGTAACATGTTACGAAGCTGTCAGAGGGTGTTGACACGTACTACGAATACCCGTCACGACGCCTACTGGTTGACCTGACCTGACCTGACCCGACCTGGTCTAAATGCTTCAAGACATCATCTGTGATCAAAACTAACACGATATTCGTGATCAGCACCCCGAAAAACCCCTTAGCAGCCACACTTTACGACTTTCTAACAGGTCCCGATTTTCCCGACTTTGGGTCATTGACCTGACCTGGAAGGTCAACCAATGACCCAGGACCTTAAAATTGGGTATCATCGGCTTCCTCTCGTCACGGGCAACACGCTCGTTTTTTCCGCGTTGCTCTAGCTCGATCAGGGGCCAAACGGCAAGGGGGGGGGGTCCAACCGACCCCCCCCCCTACACATTAGAAGCTGGCAAACGCCGCACACATGCGAGGGTTAAATTCAACACATACTCTACAGTCTACATACCCGGCCCGGCCGGTACCGGTCTATAATTCAACATGATCCGCTGATGCAATAAAAAAATCAATAGCGCTCCACAACATCCACCTAACCATAAAGATCTTATAGATACATATGATCCAAACTTCCGAAAAACAGTGTAAGTGATTCAGTCGCCTCAGGAGCGTCACAGCTGTTGCATCAACTGCAAGTCACCAATCAATTATGTCGCACCCTGAGTGGGCCAATAAAAATAACGAGCAAAAAAGGTGGAAAAACAAACCTGGAACAAAACCGGCTGGTGTAAACATACACGATGATATGAGCAATCAATGTCACAACATCGCACCGATCAGAGCGTTCTGATCAGCCATACGATCGAAGAGATCAGACCAGCTCTAGGTCCCAACTCCCAAGGTTCGGCGCCCCCGAGTCAGTCGCGTCAGCCCAGTGTCACCGGCATACGGCCACAGACTCTGAAGGTTTGCACTTTGCACTGCCATCCTCAGTCCTCACAGTTCACCGGACATGACCGGATGACGTTTGCGTCACGCATCATTCCGGTCTCCTGCACCGGTGACAGTCACGAGCAGGTGGAAGTGGGACAGCACTCGGAGAGTGATACGACGAGCGACGGCCGAGATCGTCTGAGAGGGACGACAGCCACCCGCCCCCTCAGGCAGCTCGGCCAAGCATGAGGAGACTCACCGACGCGGGGACCGGAAGCTTGCCACTTCCGCCCGCCAGGTGTGTCGACAGGCGGACAGCGGACGGTGACTCGAACGTAAGACGGACGTCTGAAGACGCGGGTCCATCACATCTCTGCTTCACTCCAACAGTCAGTCTCGGAAGGAGACGCGCTCCAGCGTCTGAGGTCTCTTCGCCGCCAGTCCGGATGTCGCGATACAATTTATTAACCGTTAGCCAGCAGTTACTCCGGACAATTGAGCAATTTACCATCTCCCAAAGACAGCTCGACAAAGCCGGCGCGCCGTGCACGGTCAGCCTGCTCCAGTGAGTAAATTCCGACATTGTGCGTGGCGATCCATTCTCCAGCTCGGACCCATTCAGCGGCTGCGGTCTGATCCTGGCCTTTGAGCCACCTTCATCACCGGCGGCGCGGCGGTTATGGCGCACCCGCCGCGAGCACCGACCTCTGACAAACGCCCACGGCCGCCGCGCTGAGCGCCACCGGCGACACGGGCCCTCCGAGCGCCGCCCGCGCGCCGGCTACCCTGTCAAAGGCACCGGCGCGGCGGGTTTCACCTGTCCTGACACAGAGCTGATTAACCGGAGCCGCCCGGCCACAGCCTGTGTGGAGTTGGGCACCGATGCGAACCAGCCGGAGGCACAGAGAGCGAAAACACGAACCCGGTACCGCAGGCGGATCATAAACAGTATCCGATTTAATTCAACGAGAACACCAGCATCAGGGCTTCTAATGACAGCGAAACACCATCCCATTCAAGGCTATTGGATAACGAGCCAAAACCAGCTGTACCTTTCTAGTCATTTGTTGTCCAGTGTCTGTAGGTAATTGATGTCACCAATCATCCGGAATTTCAACGGTCTCAATGACAGACGGCGCAGCACAGCAGACTACAGTCTCGGGTACCCAGAGAAGGTAAGGATAAGAGTAGGATAGAACGCTTGCATTTTTTTTTCAACCTTCCGGGGAAGTTGTCAAACATTTCAGGCACACTAAATTCCACCGACTCATTAAATTCCCAGCGGGACATTGATCGAATGTGATGAGGTTATACGCAAATGTTCCGAGATATGATTTACTGTCACAGCTAAGCTCTGTCTAGCCCGTCTGGGTCTGGATCTCGGGGAGGCGGACTGGCTGGTTCCTGGGCCGCGGCAGGCAGCGGGGCAAGTCGGGCGACGCTGGAAGACGGCGGAGTTGCGCACATGACACAATAACCTGTTAGGTAGCGGGGCCGCAGAAATGCTGCGTCTGCTGTTAGCTTATAGTGCCCCATTACCGAAGCCACCGGTAGAGCATTGTTCATCATAACAATGGTAAGCTTCTGAGTGAAACATTCCAGATCGGCCTTGACGTGATACCGCTGAGAGGGAAACTGACAAGGCAGCTATAAGGCAAGGCAGCTCTATAATCTCTTCCTGGATTTCAGGAATCAGAACTCCCCTATTTCGTTCTAAGTCATCATTGATATACAAACTGACTCGGGGTTCGCTGCTCATATACTTGTTCACGAGCCATTCGGGAGCACGGTTTGCTTGTTTGTTTCTTTGATAGTAAACAAAATTCGTTCATTCAAGGTCATCTGTTCGCAAACAATGCTCTGATCACGAACCGTTCATGAGCGTTCATGAGTGACCATGAACAAGCCATCATTTCTTATATCCTTCGCGTCATTATTTCCATACAGTGACATACACGTTGTCATCAAGACTGAATTCTTATCGCCTTCCCTAAATCCTCGTAAAATGCACCGCGCAGCAATAGCAGCACCTTTATCCTTCGAGGCGGCTAGGAAATCCTCTCTAAAACGCGACCGATCGTGCCCGGATCCCGGGCGAAATCCGGCCCATAACGCGTTCGAAGGCCCCGTTACCGCCGGTAGTCAGGCTCATTGCGTTCAATCAGCTATTCAAACTGAATGGAACTCAAAGGACTACTGCACAACACTGTTCTATGGAGGAGGAATTGTGAAGGGGTTTCCCACGTAGCGGACAAAATTATGAACAACGAAACGCAACAGTAAAACGGACCTGGGGGTCGAACCGTGAACGAACACACATACCAAGTTTGTATTGCATCACTGCCGGTACGCCTATATTTTGACTAGGTACACCGCCACTAACTTTAAAGGTGAGCCCTCCGTCAGCCCGCGACACACGGCTTCTTAAGTTGGCGCGAGCGAAAATAAAAAGGGATGCTACGGAACTCCCAGCGTAAGAAAAGAAGCAGACTGGAAAAGCAAAGCAATATGGGATTGTTTTGTGTAGGAAAGCAGCAATGTTTCAAAGTGTCCATGACAGGTGATCATCAGAAATTCATTGAGGGGTAATGCTGATGATTTGGGTTCAACGGCACCGTGAACAGCAGCTGAATGTCAACAATGTCCATTTCTCCATTTTAAGGCCATGCTTCGACATGGTAACGCCCAGAAAGAGACAGTGACAGCATCATTGAAATGGACCAACCGACGAGTCCCCCATAGTCCACTAGACACAATTATGTAAATTCTCAGGAAAAACGATATGAGCATTTCCAACTTGTTTGTCTCATACGAATAGGAGCAAGCTAAAGGTATCACCACGTGAAGACTTAACAAAATACTTAGACTATATTTTTGAAGAAGCTCTCTTACATTGGCAAGAAAAGACCAAATTACCATTACCATTTGCAAATCGTAGCTGTTATTTATCGCAAACGTTTGCAACTATAACATCGCTTGGAAACTAGACGCAGAGACACGCAAAAACAACACCTCAGTCACTTCACTTCAAGTGCACGAGATTGGGACGTATCTGCCATATGCAAGTCATTTAAATGCAAGCCACCATTTCGCACTGTTTGCGAAGAACTTAAAAGGATCGGTGCTCAAACAATCAGGGGGAGTGCAGGTTAGAGTTAGCAAGCTCTCGTGAAATGGATGTTGCGCATTCAGTAACCCGAGTCTTTCTCGACCCTATTATACGTGTCGGTCTTGCGATATTCTTTGTATTTCAAGACACCGACGTTCGGTGGGAATAAAGCCAATAAGCCACGCAGTGGACCATTTTCCTTTCTTGGAGAGAGCTGCCCACGTCCAATGTCAGCATCACGCCAACAGAATCGGGCACGAACCACCACCAGGTCCCCCTGGACCACCGTGCGCGCGGGGGGGGAGACAGGCGGCCGAGAGGGGCACGCACCGTTCGGCGCCCCCCTGGACCGCCGTCTGATAGGCAGGGGAAAGCGACTGAGAGAGGCGCGAATCGTGGTCGCTTCCCTCCAGACCACACCATCCGGGACAGAGCAGCGGCCGATGGTCTCCGATGGAAGCCATGAACCCCCAACAAACAAACAAACAAACAGGGTCTCCGATGCGCGCGGCTGCGCTGAGCCGAGTACTGATGACCTCGCGTATGAGCACGGCAAGCCACGTCACTGGTCAACAGGATATCAGCGCAGCCGGCGCGACGTCGGCGTGCCGTGCAGACAAAAATACTTCATAGGAGAAAAACTGCTGTTTGACCAACAGTCGTAATCAACCCAAATATTGAGACACGCAGCAGCAAGTCGCTGGCATACAAAAACTCTAGGTCTATGTTATGAAGGTCGGGGCCGTTCTATTTGCGCGACTTCCTACTAGCTCCTCATCCAATATCGTCTTCAAAAGGCCGTCGCGCGCTGTTTGTTTTATGCCGGATACGGACCGGACAAATATCGGCAAATGCTACACGGCTATACTCGAGTCTCCGGCACTGCAAGTCATGAGTATGACCGCCCGTTAGCACTCGCCAGCTTCTAACTGGATGGACGAACGACCTGGGCCAGCCGCACATTAGAGTAGGAACGACGTGAGCTAGTCACTAACTACATACAGGGGAGGCCTGAGTCAGTTACCCACTGGGTGTACACAGTACATACGGGCGTAGAGATGCGGCCGACCGTGAATTGGCCGCAATGACTCAATCACATTCGAATAACAATTCAGTTGTTTCCTGGCTCACAATACTCACAATACGGGAATAGGCTCGTAATCCTATTCCCGCGTTCATTTACAGCTCAGTCTGATTATAAGCGCAGTATGCCGACAGATCGGATCATTCCCAGAATCAGCTCTGCAGCGCTGCAGCCCCATCCCACCCGACAAGCAGCGGCGGCATAACTGGATTCCACCACCCAGCCCGGTTCAAAGGTGTTCGGCAGAGGTCACGGGGTGTCGCCCCGACGCCTGGGCGCGACGGCTTCTGCGTCAGCCCAGCTTCCACACAAACCTAGGTGCAATAACGTCCCGAAATTGGCTGTTAGTCAAGAACTTTGCCGCCAAATTGCTTCGTTTCGCCCAGTAAGCGCAGTATTTATGTGGTGGGGGTCGGGCTCGGCTGACTGAAATGGCTGTATTGATTGTTATATCACAGTCGGCGGCTGTGACACCCGGTAAAGTCTAGGACAGCGCTGTACTGCGATACCACCTTTGGCCGTGCCTTCTATTAAACCCGCGGGGCTCATACGCGTGACATATGGGGAGTCTATATCGGGGAGGGATAAGGCCATGATGGCTTATGCCTCGATTAACAGATCCGGGATATTTGAACGGAACTGAAGGGCAACTTTTTCAACAGCTTATATTGCAAGATTTTCCTTGGCGGATGTCAATGATTCCAGTCATAAATAAGGACGCTCCTTCATCAGAATTATGAGTTATGCAGCACGATTTGTGGGTCAAAACATGTACATTATTTCATTCCACTCATCTTTCCATCTCCCTCTTTCTCGCTCTCCCTGCCCATCTCTCACCTGAGCAGCCGCGTCGCGCCCGGTCCGGCCGTCGCTGGCCGGTGCAGCGGGCAGCGGGGCTGACAGAGAGGAGGGCACGGGCACGGGCAGCAGGCCAGCCGGCAGCGGCCCCGCCGACACCGGCACCACCTGTCAGCAGAGAGCAGCACCGGCTGTCAGCGGAGATTTGTCATCAGAGACACACGTTAACGGCTGTCTTACGACAGAATCTAACAGATCCAGCTCAAAGCCCGTCAACTCGTGGACGTAGGACTCTACCGAAAATGAACAACAGACAAACGTCGCAGCTCGCGTCAGTCCATTCTTCACGCGAGTACCTATTGAGGATCAGAAGAAGCCACAACGAGGCGCCTCCTACGGCGGACGTATAACCGTTGAAAATAATCCTGCATCGCTGTATGGAAGACTTCGGCGTAATGTATGCAGCGGCGTGTGTGACACGAGTGTTCATGTGGAGAAAAAGAAGAGCGAGAGCCGAGAGGAGATAAAAGAGAGACGAGAGATTTAACGGAAAAGAGAGAAAGAACAAGACCGCATTATTGACAGTCTCTTTATTGGTTTACGAACAAAAGGAAAATGTCCAGGGAGTATATAAGTATCCAGAAAGTGAGACGGCGCGTCACCGGCAGCCGACACCTGTGAGCGTCAGTGGCGCGTGTCATACCCGAGCGGAGGGCACACGTGCGGCACATGCACGGAGCAAATCAAATCCACCGGCCGGCCGTTACATAAACAGCGCTATATCGGTGTGGGGATCAGAGGCGGCGGCAGGCCGGTGTGCCGGATACATCACACGGCTCGGTGGCACCCCTTCAGACGACCGCGCGCTGTCACAGTCCCCACACCGGCGGTGACACGGCCGTCCACCGAGGCCAGGCACGGTGGTCGCAGCTCGCTGTCACGTGAAAGGCTTTATATAATATCTTTAAATGGGTTGTGTCTTATGAACTTTTCATGGCTGAGAGAAGTGCGTCCTAATTATGTAAGAATCAGAGGCAGATGCTCTCCCTTTTGCCACCTCAGCTCCGGCATGGCTCCGGTAGGCGCTAAACAGGGCAGTCGAGGACAGGGTACACCACGGCTAACCATACCGCGCCCAAATGGTCAGCTGAAGGGTTAGCCGCGTATAACCCTAGTTATGTAACCATAGATTAAGTTGTAGTACTACAGTGTTAGATATAGAGCAGTCTATGTGTACAGTTATATTCAAACCAGAACTTTGACAAGAAAATCAGCTTACCATAATAAAGCAATAAAAACAGGTCAAGAAATAAATATATTAAATGTAATTACAATATTAGGAACCAATGTAATTTAACGTTTCTGCTCTCCGAGTATGGCTGGAGTCGTTATCAATGTGAGGATGGAAAGTGTGTTGCCAGGAACATGTTGCCCGGAGGTCAGCCTGGCCACCATAATCAGATAATGCGTCGGCGGTAACCATCCTGTCTCATTCCTTACATAGCACACGGGCGCCCTGTATCTGGGAGTCATGGATCGGAGCAGAACTGACACACACACACACAGAGTAACTCAGAAACTAATGGACGGTAGAAAATCAACCATTTGAACGGACAAAGACCGATTTCCATGCTTCAGGTCACTGGACAAATTGTCAAAGGTTAGACGACATTTGGTAATTGCTTTTCTACAATGCATTAGTATTTGCCCTTATAGAGCAAATATATCGTTTACAGTTGACTGGGCACCTCGTGGGCGGTACTACACAGACCATATCAATATTACGGTGCGCTGCGCGTCAGAGTTCCAGGCCAGAGTTCTAGCATTGGACGTCACAGAGCCGATAACAATAGAGTGAGGCATAAAACTACAGACATGACGGTAAACACTAAACAGCTCAGATTAGTGCAGTCGGAGACACAGCAAACGAATTTAAATAATCCAGAGTGCAGCAGATAAAGCTAGTCTGAAACGAACACACAGATCCCGCTTTTAAACCACGCTATTGGCAGTTTCAAAAGAAAAAGCAGAACATCATTCAGCTAAGTCACTGCCTATTAATTCAGAAATGGAGCGAAATCACGAGAGCATCCCTGGAGGGAGCGCCATATATTCAGCCAGACATTTGGATAACATTGGACGAAACTATACCAAGTTCGCGAACTTCAGCGGGATGGCCTGTGAAAGTAATGGCTCTATTTTGTTGACTAGTCTAGTTGGCCCGAACCAACCGCCCGCGGGCGCGTGCTCTGAAGGACCTACTTCTGAACTACTCTGAGAGAGCCAGTCTAGTCCGCGGGTCCCCCGGGGGCGTCTCCTCACCTGCCGGGCGGGCGCCACGTGCCCGACCTGCGGAGTCTGTCCCAGCGAGACGGCGGCGCCGGCCGGCGCGGCCGCCGCCCGCTGCAGATCCTGCCAGATGTCCGTAAAAGTGTCCCCGCAGCTCGGCATCGGAGGCATCGGCGGCATCGGGGGCATGGGCGGCGTGGCCGGCTGGCGAGCGAGGTGCGCCAGCCGACCGGAGCCCGCCACCTGCAGACAGAGACCCAGGAGGGGTGTCAGGGACGAGGAGCGAGTTTATGGGACGGCGGACCGCGTATATGGGACGGCGGACCGAGTATATGGGACGGAGGATCCAGTGTCGCGGAGGAGGACCGAGTATCGGTGAGCGGCAGACAAGGACTCACATCCGGACAGCAGCGGCACGCGGTCATCAGCGGTCACGAGAGCACATACGCCAGAAACGATCATATTCCTGGCGCACCGGCAGCCAGGAGTACCGACGGAGCTGAAGTCACGGACAGACAAGGACATACATTCCGGCATATCCGCCGACACGGGGTCACGGACAGATAATCTTGGTCACGGACACACGGAAAGGTACGGGGCAGGGCCGGTGGACGGGCGCACTACAAGGCACTCCGTCGCCTAGTAGCCAATTCGCCAACAGACAAGCAGCTACAAAGCTAACTATAGCCTGTCATAATTGAACGGCGAAACACGGCGCAAAACATCGCCTGTTAAACTTTGGGCGTTCAAAGGCATCGGGCGCAGCGCGGCGCTGTCGAATCCAGCGCTGTCCCAGCCTGCATTACAGTCAGGTCAGATTGCTGTCACCGCTGTCGCGCGGCCCTGTCAGCGCTGTCACCTAAACTGGCGCACTGTCCTGCCATCCCTGTCATAGCCAACGGCATGTGTCATCGTTTGAACCGTAAATTTCGCACCGGCTGCTGTCATCACACATGTCGACGATTATTATCACAAGCGTTATATAAGCGGCTTCAGTATACCTACTTGCAGCGACGCTGTGCGGTATGTCCGCATCCCTACTCTAGGCATGGGATGGAGAAACTGCGCAGCAGAAAAAGCAGGGCGATAGTCGCCCCCCCCCCTCCTCGGCAAGTCACAGGTCAATGGCAACTTAGCGGCCCCCCGGCTAAGAGGCGTTGGGCGAGGGCAGACAGATGCCGGAGAGAGCGAGGGAGAGGGAGGGAGGGTGGGAGGGAGAGAGATAAGCGGAGCGGGCGGGCTGGGGCGGGAGGCACGAGGGGAGCGCGGGATATAGGACAGTCAGAGACGAGCCAGCGAAGGGGACGGACCATCGGTCATGGTCTCAACAATTTTTTGGCTTCTCTCGTTGTGTGACACTCGGAGTGACGGAGAGGCTATGAATAGTGACGGCGAAAGAGGGAGTGGTGGCATGGTACTCAGAAGGGCGGTGCCTTGCGACTCAGCGCAGCGCAGGAGCTGGGAGGCAGAGAACCAACCGCCTGTGACGACTCATGACGCGAGGTTTGTCAGTAGATGCCACTGACTACAGGTAAGCGAAGGGCCGAGTTCGCTGTTGTGTAACTGGCCGGGTGCCGCGACAGATTGATGGGCGCAGTAACCTGCGCTCTCGAGAGCAGGGATGCTTTGTGGGCAGACCGCGAAGGCGCCACTTTCCAGCTCTTGGGAGCTTATTGTCATGGCTGTCAGCTGTCGATGTATAATCAGCGGGTAGACAGATTCGCGCGACTTGCGTCATTGCGGAGTCACGCGCTGTCTAATCTGGATGGTGTTGTCCGACATCTCGTGCTACAAATCGAATAGGCTGGCAATATCGGCTTGGGAGAGACGGTCGTGGACGTTTTTTTTTTCGTTGCTTCGTCAAGAGCTTTTGGACGCTTGAAGCGCGCCACCGCGGCAGCTGTGGTCGTGGGAGCGCTCCGTGAGGACCCAGACTGTGGGTTAGCGCCTGCCTGATCTCCTGTTTTCACAGTTCGGTGCCTGGTTGCCAGCGCGACTGCCGACTGCGGCGGGGGAGCGGGACGGGGTCAGACGTCCCTGTGCATATGGAGTGTGGCAGCGGCTGAGGGGCCTGCTGGTTGGTCTTTGAAGCCTTTGGGGGCTGGTGGGTGCGGTGCGGTACCCTTGGGGGCGAACGCGGTCAGTGATTTGGTGACCTCGGGTGACATTTTCAGGGCTGATATCAGGTTTGGCCCGTGACCACCTGCACCCTGGTATCGCTGCGCGCTGCAACGGTGCAGCGGCGCTTAACCCCTGCGCTCCGGCTGAGCGAGCGGAGCCGGGTGGGTGACGTCATCGAAGCACGCCGCACGCAGCCAGATCTAGGCGCCGGGCCAGGGCCCTGTTTACGGCCGCTGCCAGGCTGCCAGCGTGCGCTATCACACGTGCTAATTGGGTTTCCATGACATCCGTACATCCGTATCTCCAACCCTGCCAATATGTCGTCACATGTGTGACTTTAGCTCGCAAATGCGATAGCAGCGTGGTAGCAGCATCGAGTGAAATACCGCTCAAAAACGGGAATGGCCCTCCCTTTGTCCGCGCGGTCCACGGGCCCGCCGGCGCCGCGGCGCGGCGGACCGGGCGCGGCGGACCGGGCGCGGAGACCCAATAAAGTAAACAGCCCGGCCTTATCGGTCACGGTGTCGTATGGCGGCGCCCGGCCGCATGGCTCACAGCTGGGGCATGGGTGACTGTCCGCTGGAGTCCTGGGACGGGCAGTGGGACAGGGCCAAGGAGAAAGGAACATGGTGTTTGAGGGAGAGTCGAGGGGGCAGTGACCCTTCCGGAACGGGGTGATCGTGGTGGTCCCAGATGATGTCTTATTGAGTTTTTACAGACCTAAAGCGCGCGCAGCGGCGCGCCGTCGGTTCGCAGGCACACCACGGATACCCACCGGCTGTCGCTGTTCCGGACCACGCGGGCTCTGACGTGCCCGCGTCTTTGCGTGGCTTGACCGCCTTTGCCGGGCGAGGAGCAGCCGCGTGAGCGGTTGAGGGTCAGTTTGACCGAGTGGTGCGGGTCGCTGGTTGTTGGCAGAATACAATGCGACGCCGCGGACCGATTAGTGGTGTCATCTGGGATTGGACCTTCGGAATTCCGTTTTGTCTAATGTTCATTTCGGGAGATGGTTGAACAAAGGTTACACTGGCTTGGACAGCTTGAACAAACACTTGCTCGGGGGACGAGAAACGCTATTTCTTCTATCCCTGCTTCCTGGTTGATAAGAACGAGCTTAGACAAGCTTCGGCAGGGTGCGCTGAAGGAGCAGAGCGCCGGTGGCGGCCGGGCAAGCGCCGCGGGATGACCGGGGGGGGGGGGGGGGTGGCAGACCGCTACGGGCGCCACTATCGCGGGTCTGACGGGCGGCCGTGGGCGGTGGGAGCTCTTGGGAGTTTCCTGCCCTTGAAGGCGACAGTAGCTGTCCTAGCTCTCGAGCTTATTGCCCTTGGGGGGCGAGCTTGCTGCCCCTTGGGGGCGAAGGTAGCTGTTACAGCCCTTGGGAGTTAATTGTCTTTGGGGCGACGATGGCTGTACAAGCTCTTGAGGAGCTTATTGCCCTTGGGGGCGACTGAGGCTGCACGGGCTCTTGGGAGCTTATTGCCCGTGGGGGCGACGATGGCTGTACAAGCTCTTGGGGAGCTTATTGCCCTTGGGGGCGACTGTGGCTGCACGGGCTCTTGGGAGCTTTGCCCTTGGGGGCGACGATGGTTGTACGAGCTCTTGGGAGCTTATTGCCCTTGGGGGCGACGACGGCCGTACAAGCTCCTGGGAGCTTATTGTCCTTGGGGGCGACTGAGGCTGTACGAGCTCTCGGGAGCTTTGCTCGTGGGGGGCGACTGAGGCTGCACGGGCTCTTGGGAGCTTTGCCCTTGGGGGCGACGATGGTTGTACGAGCTCTTGGGAGCTTCTTCCTCTTGGGGGCGAGCTTGCTGCCCTTGGGGGCGACGGTAGCCGTACGAGCTCTTGGGAGCTTATTGCCCTTGGGGGCAACGATGGCTGTACAAGCTCTTGGGAGCTTATTGCCCTTGGGGGCGACTTGGGAGCTTATTGCTCTTGGGGCGAGCTTGCTGCCCTTGGGGGCGACGGTAGCCGTCCGAGCTCTTGGGAGCTTATTGCCCTTGGGGGCGACCTGGCTGTACAAGCTCTTGGGAGCTTATTGGCCTTGGGGGCGACTGAGGCTGTACAAGCTCTTGGGAGCTTTGCCCTTGAGGCGACGATGGTTGTACAAGCTCTTGGGAGCTTATTGCTCTTGGGGGGGGGGGACGGTAACCGTACAAGCCTTTGGGTGCTTAATGCCCTTGGGGGCGACGAGCTTGCTGCCCTGGGGGGCGACGGTAGCCGTACGAGCTCTTGGGAGCTTATTGCCCTTGGGGGCGACGATGGCTGTACAAGCTCTTGGGAGCTTATTGCCCTTGGGGGCGACTGAGGCTATACAAGCTCTTGGGAGCTTTGCCCTTGGGGGCGACGATGGTTGTATAAGCTCTTGGGAGCTTATTGCCCTTGGGGGCGACGGTAACCGTGCGAGCCTTCGGGTGCTTATTGCCCTTGGGGGCGACGATGGCTGTACGAGCTCTTGGGAGCTTATTTTTCCTTGGAGGCGGGCTTTCTGCCCTTAAGGCGACAGTAGCTGTACGAGCTCTTGGGAGCTTATTGCCCTTGGGGTGACGATGGCTGCACGAGTGCTTGGGTGCTCATCGCCCTTGGGGGCGAGCTTGCTGCCCCTGGGGCGACGGTAGCTCTTGGAAGCTTCTTGCCCTTGGGGGCGACGTTGGCTGTACGGGCTGTTAGGAGCTTTTTGCTCTTAGGGGCGAGCTTGCTGCCCTCGAAGGCGACAGTAGCCGTATGAGCTCTTAGGAGCTCACTGCCCTTGGGGGCGACGATGGATGACTGTATGAGCTCTTGGAAGCTTATTGCCCTTGGGGGCGAGCTTGATGCCTGCCCTCGAAGGCTTCAGCACACGTCCGAGCTCTTGAAGCTTGCCTTTGAGGACGACGACGGCCGTTCGAGCTCTTGGGAGCTTATTGCCCTGGGAGCGAGCTTGCTGCCCTTGGGGGCGACGGTCGCTGTACGAGCTCATGTGAGCTTTGCCCTTGGGGCGACGATGGCTGTACGAGCTCTTGGGAGCTTATTGCCCTTGGGGGAGAGCTTTCTGCCCTTGGGGGCGACGGTAGCTGTAGGTGTTCTTGGTAGCTTAGCGCTTGCTGCCCTTGGGGGTGACGGTAGCCCTATTGCCCTTGGGGGCGACTGAGGCGGTACGAGCTCTTGGGAGCTTATTGCACCTAGTGGCGACGACGGCTGTATGAGCTCTTGGGAGCTTATTGCCCTTGGGGCGAGCTTGCTCCCCTTTGGGGCGACGAAAGCTGTACGAGCTTTTGGGAGCTTATTGCTCTTTGGGCGACCGAAGCTGTACGAGCTCTTGGGAGCTTTCCCTGTGGGACCGACGGCAGCCCTACGAGCTCTTGGAAGCTTATTGCCCTTAGGCGCAGCTACTGGGTGCGGCACTGTCGGGAGCCCCCTGGCGCTCGCCGGACGCCGCCGCGCCTGACCCTCAAGGAGCGACACCCAAGGCCGTACTTGGTAGCCGGGAGCGGCCCGGTTCTCTTCCCAGATCTGTGTGCTTTTCGCCTTGGGCGGGAGTAAGAGGTCCGGTTATCTTACCCGATGTTTGCGTTCGCCCTGTTCTCTCTGTCCGCCGCGTGTCCGCGCCCGCTGCGCCGCGACCGCCCGGCGCGGGGAGGGGCACGCGATATGGGCCGAAGGTCCACCGCGCGGCCAACGCGCGGGTCCCGGTCTAATTACTGGATTGGAGGATGCGCCGCGGGGCGGCGTCCACACAGCTGCGCGCCCCCATCCCTGGTGGGGGAGGGGGAGGGCGCGGTGACAGGGCGGGCGCTTGGCCGGCTCGAGTGGCGGGGCGGCACACACAGGGGCGCTCGCCACCCCCTCCCTCGTCACTCGCAGGGGGGTAGGCGCGAACGGCTCGGCCATCTGCGGGCAGTGTGCGACGGTTCGCACGTGTCGCGGCGTTGCGGGGACCGGCACTGGATCGACGAGGAGGGCGTCACGCGCTGCCTTTTTTCGGCGGGCTGTGTGCCAGCAATTCTTTCGTTTCACAACCGGGCCGCGGGCCGCGGCGGGTGTGAGCTCCGGATGTGTGGACGCGCCAGAGCGACCCGTCCGACTATCTGTATCTGCCGGCGACCTATACGGTCATCTGACCGGTGCGGGCGTTGGGGCTGTGCAAGCTCTGGGGAGCTTGTTGCCCTTGGGGGCAGACCGCGTGGGTGCTACTGTCGGGAGGCTGGGGGAGAATGACGGGGGCTTGCGAGCTCTTGGAAGATCATAGTTGACGGTGCGAGGGCAGGCTGCATGTGCGCTACTGTCCAGAGCTCTTGGGAGCATGACGGGTGGCCGCGCGAGCTCTTGGGAGATCATAGTTGGCGGTGCGAGCCCTTGGGAGCTTATAGCCCTTGGGGGCACACCGTTAGTGACTCTACTGTCGAGAGCTCTGGGGGCATGTCAGGTGGCTGTGCGAGCTTTTGGGTGCTCTTGCCCTGGGACATACCGTTTTGGGCGCTGATGTCGAGAGCTCCTGGGAGCCTGACGAAGGGAGCTGCGCGAGCTATTGGGTACTACTGCCCTTGGTGCAGACCGCCAAGGCCACTGTTGTCGAGAGTTCTTGGGAGCCTGACCGGTGGCCGGGCGAGCTATTTGGAGCTTCTTGCCCTGGGGGCTAGCAGCTACGATAGTTTTCTGTCGCGACCTCCAGGAAGCATGACGGGTTACTGTGCGAGCTCTCGGGAGCTCATTGCCCTTGGGGGCAGACCGCTATGGGTGCTACTGTAGAGAGCTATTGGGAGCCTGAAGGATGGCTGCGCGAGCTCGCGAGAGCTTCTTGCCCTTGGGGGCAGACCGCTATGGGTGCCAATGTCGAGAGCTCGTTGGAGCCGGACGGGTGGCTGCGCAAACTCTTCAGAGCTATTGCTCTTGGGGGCAGATCGCATAGGCGCTACTGTTGGAAGCTTTAGGAGCACAAGCGCCTGCTCGAGCCGGCGGGAGCCTATTGTCATTGGGAGCAGACGGATACGGGTGTTACTGTCGCGAGCTCTTGGGAGCCGACGGATGGCCGTGCGAGCTCTTGGGAGCTTATTGCCCTCGGGGGAAGCCTCTATGGGGTTCGTGTCGAGAGCTCCTGGGAGCTTACAGTTGGCTGTGCGAGCTCTTAGGAGCCTCTTGCCGTTGGGGGCAGACCGCTAAGAGTGTTCACAGCGGGAGCTCTATTGAGCATGACGGGTAACCGGGCGAGCTCTCGGGAGCTTATTGCTCTAAGGTTGCTGACGAGAGCTCTTGGGAGCTTACATTTGGCTATGCGAGCTCCGAGCTCTTGAGAGCATCTTGCCCTGGGGGCAGACCGCTACGTATGTTTCATGCCACGAGCTCTAGGGAGCGCAAGAGAGCATCACGGATGGCTGCGATTTGCGAGAGCTCTTAGGAGCTTAAAGTTGGCTAAACAAGCTCTCGGGAGCTTCCTGCCTTTAAGGACCGGCCGCTTCGGGTGTTTTCCCCTGCGCGAGCTCTAGGGAACATGACGGGTGGCCGTGGCAGCTCTCGGGAGCTCTCCACTTGACTGCGCGAGCTCTTGGGAGCTTAATGCCCTCGGGGCAGACCGCTACGGGCGTTTCCTGGCGCAGCTCAAGGGAGTATGATAGGTGGCCGTGGGGGCTCAATTGGGAACTTGCAGTTGGCTGGTTAAGCTTTTGGGAGTTCCTGGCCCCGGGGGCAGACTGCTACGGGGGTTTTCCTGTCGCGAGCTCAAGGGAGCATGGCGAGTGGTTGTGAGCTCTTGGGAGCTTACAGTGGGCTGGACCAGCTCTCGGGTTCCTGCCCTTGGGGGCAGACCGCTCCGGATGGTTCCGGTCCCGATCTCTAGGGAACACTACGAGTGGCCGTGGAAGCTCTTAGGAGCTTACAATTAGCTACGTGGCCTATTGCGTGGTCGCTCCGTTTGGCGGGGTTTGGCGGGTGGTTCCAGGAGCAGGAACTGCCACCAGTGGGCGATCGGCCTTTACTCAGCCAACAGAGTGTCTAGATCACGGAGGCGTCAGGCATGAGCCCAATGGCAACTTAGCGGCCCCCCGGCTAAGAGGCGTTGGGCGAGGGCAGACAGATGCCGGAGAGAGCGAGGGAGAGGGAGGGAGGGTGGGAGGGAGAGAGATAAGCGGAGCGGGCGGGCTGGGGCGGGAGGCACGAGGGGAGCGCGGGATATAGGACAGTCAGAGACGAGCCAGCGAAGGGGACGGACCATCGGTCATGGTCTCAACATTTTTTTTTTGTTCTTCTTTGTTTTTTTTCCTGTCGTGACCCCACTGTGGCGGGTGGTTCCAGGAGCAGGAACTGCCACCAGTGGGCGATCGGCCTTTACTCAGCCAACAGAGTGTCTAGATCACGGAGGCGTCAGGCATGAGCCCAACCCCGGTACGGGGAGGATCGTTCCACTGCACGGGCGAGATGGGGATCGGGGCACGAAAGGGAGGTGGGGGGGGGGGGAACTAGCCAGTGGACGACGGCGGGAACTGGAGAGAAACAGACTCACTGGCGGTGGGGACTGACGGAAAATTGGCCCCTGGGGGGGGGGGGGGAATGGCGGGGAAACTGCAGATCTCTGGCGGGGTGCTGAAAGCATAGACCCACTGGCGGGGGTAACGAGGGGGAACTAGCCTAGCTGTGCGGACTTAGGAGAGTTCTGCCCTCTTTCGGTGGGGAGTTGGGGGAACCCGATCTTCTGTCGGTGGGGAGGGGGGTACCTGACCTGTCGGTGGGGAGGGGGGGGGGGGGTACCTGACCTGTCGGTGGGGACTGAAGGGGACTGACCTGTAGGTGGGAACTGACCTTCTGTCGGTGGGGACTGCCGCCGCCCGCCGGGGACGCCCGGTTGACCGCCGCCGCCGCTGGCTGAGGGACCTTTTGGGCCGCCTGCTGCCGCTGCTGCTGTTTCTCCGGACTGTGGGCTGGCTGGGGCGCGGCGCGACCCGGCTGCCGATCCGCTGCCGTCCTGGCCTCCCGCTGCTGCTGAGCCGGTACGTGGTTCCGGGCCTGTAAGGTAACAAAACGCTAATGAGGTTCGTAAAAATGAAAGAGCGGTAACGCCACAAGACGATGAGAGGCACTTCCCGCTACTCTGGCGAAAGCTAAGTCAATTAAACCTCTTCGGGAAAGCCTTCAATAGGGTGCACTTTTATACGACACCTTTTCTGTGAAGCATGTAAAATGAGCTTTTATGTTCGGAGCTTACATGTCACCACCCAGAGCAGTAAAAAATCTGCAAATTATGTCAATACCAGGACATAGGTCTCCAACAGTGGAACGGACACCGAGCAGAGAATTAATGCACGATCTCCCGTTCAAATAAAGCGGAGATCCGGGAGTCGCCACAAAACAAACGGAAATATATTAAGGTAAGATAAAAGCATTACATGTTACTCAATAAGAAAAGCTATTACCTGTACTGCAATGTCTAAACCAGGGAAATACCAGCCACCATTCTGACAATCGCTGCCCGCTCTACTTTCTGGTAGCCCTCCCCGGCGGAACTGCATTAGTAGCGCCCCTGACGTTTTTTTTTCTATTGTTCAGAAAACACTGGATAATGGATACCTACATCTAAAACCACCTGTAACATATGCCGCCCGACCTTTACTTAGACTGGACGTTTCGGCACCTACCTTATTTTCTGGTCCGGTCAGTTTAGTGACCTATAATGTCAAATAAAAAATATATCGGCACGATCCTACAAAATGATTTTTTTGCAACATTCGACGACAAAAATGTTTCATAGAGAGACTAGCTTTCGGAAGGTCTCGGGTTTCTGTGTAATTTAAATCTGTGATTCTCTTATATTTGCACAGATTACCTGGCAAAAGGTCAGTCATGTAATGTACTTCATATAGCATCATTTACAGCGTGACTGAGGTCATTTGAGGTCACACCGTCCGTCGTTTCCATCCTCAGGATGTTCAAATCCTTCTCATCCACGCCGCAATCCTCTCTCCGGGCTGGACAGACAACTTTATTCCATGCGGGCTGCTCCCAGTGGAGCGGCACCGCTGCTCCCGAGGGAGCGCACCCCGTAGCCGGGTGCAGTGAGTACTCTGGGGGACGGTCGGTCTGTCCTTTAGGAAGGGCTCAGCCCTGGTGACTCACTAGGGTGCCTGCCTAGACCATTGTCTCCCCCTAATTCCTATCATCCTTCCGGCTCTGCATTGGTCTTGTGAGACCGAAAGGGTTATGCAGAAAACAAAGTGGTATGGTGAGCAAATGCGCATTCATCCTTCTCGTATGCCTATGAGAAGGAGAGTCCACTCCAGTGGGGCTTGTTTTGATTCAAAGAAAACTTCGAGACAGAAAGTGAGAATAGCTTTCTTCTGTTAATCCAGTTTTCCACCTCCATGCAGCCTTCCCACGAAAGCAGACGTGAGCAATGGTTGACAGTTTGCAGATAAATCCACATGTGTCAGGCTAGTTTACTCATCATGATGTGATACACATAAGGCTACCTTTGTAATACATTGATCCAGCGTTACGTGGGACGGTGGCAGCAAAGTCAGCGCTCCAACGCCGCCGTCAGAGTCGCTGTCGTGCCTAAACCCATCAAATGAGCCGAGCCAGCCGCCGTCATATCCCACCAACCAAACAGCGGAGCCGCCGTCATACCAAAACCCACCGATTGAGCCGAGACGCTGTCATATCCCAACGCACCAAATGCAATCGGCCGAGCTGCCACAATCGCTCGCTCGGTGCCGCAGCGTTAGCCCAACTTTGTGGCGTTTAAATTGCGTCATCGATTATCAGCCATCCACGCTGCCGTGGATGGTTGATGATGATTGATGGATGATGGTTGACACTGAGTAGGAGCAGTATGCCCTACCATCCTGTGTCTGACCAGTCTGCCCCCCCCCCCCCCCCCAGTCAGTCACACCAGTCAGTCCGTCCCACCACTGTGTCCCACCAGTCGCTCCAACCAGTCCCTGTCCGATCAGTCTCTGCCCCACCAGTCTCTGCCCGAACCGGCGTCAGTCCCATCCGACTCGGAGCAGTCGAGTCCCGTCCATCGCCGCTTTATCCCGGCACGCCTCGTAACTCAGCCCGCAGTCGGCCTGTCGGCTCTAACCGGCTGCATCGCAGGCGACTGGGACGGCACGCCTGAATGGCTCATTCGGCCGCATTGGCCGGCCGGCTGGCGGTCCGTGGTCTCATGGCCACCGGAGAGGCCCACATTCTGGCTCAAGATGACAGGGCGGCCAGCGCGCCATTTGCGCCACTTGGAAGCGGCTGAAGGGCCGCCTGATTACTGCGGCGCTGCCGGTCGGGACAGCGCAGATACCGCGCAACGAGGCACGTCGGCTCCATGTCCGGCCCAAACTGCTGGAGGTGAAATTGATACCTAATGGAAAAATAACGTCCGGTCGGGACGAGTCGTTTGGTGGTTCCGCAATGAGCGCCCTACCTCCAATGGGTGGGTCACATTTTGCTGTGACAATCAGGGGCCCGTGATTTTTAATGACCTCTCTCCACCGCCGTTGACCTCTGGTGGCCGAAATGAATTTGCATTGAATTTGGATTGTCATATGTTTATACATCTAATATAGGCTGTCTTGACCTAAAACAAACAGAAGTCGAAATTGAGCTTATTTACATGCCTCCTGCAATGGCGCGGGATGTTATTTCACGGGGCCGTGTTACGACGCATGTATCGCTTTATGCCGGGTCCATTTGTCACCGTTTAGCAGTACTGGGCGGCCGGCCTCTCCGCCAGTACGGAGAGCCAGCACGCGCCGCACTGAGGCGGTGCTGCCGACCCAACTCGGCTGAGTGCGGGGGCAGGGACGGGGCGACTAACTGGTGGTGTGCGGAGCTGTAAAACATTATAACGGCGGCCAAAGCAGACAGAGAATATGAGCTGTCTCGCATAAATAACAGTTATAGCCCTAAATGAAAAATGAGACACATGCAGCGCATATAGATGTAACTGTGTTCCAGTTGCGTAACAGCATGATATAATGATTACATGGTTGACGGTAACACCAAAATGATCTTACGTAAGATGTAAAATATCGCATACGCCAAATATGCCTAAATGATGAACATCCTAGAGTACGGTTGAGAAAAGGAAAACTAAGCTTCATGCTAAGTATACCACCAAGCAAGTGAAACTGGATCGTAGTAGTCCCGCCGCGGTCAAATTAATATTCATGTAAAATTACAACAAAAATCCCAGCTTGTGGCGAGGTTGACAAGGCTCACAGGAGCTTAAATGTAATGTAAAGGGGAAGACATTGTTGTATCTGCATGAAAGCATTCTCCTATCCCTCTGATGTACCTCCAGGGCAAACAAGGCACCAAGCCCCCCCCCCCCCCCCCCGTTTCGAACTGAACAATCACGTTCGCACGACGCGAGTAGCTCCGTTCATATCATGCCTCTATGTAGTGGGGTGACCGTTGCGGGACAGGTCGGCCTGTCCCTGAGACGGCCTCAGCCCCGGCGACTCACCAGGGTCGCCATCCAGACCAATGTTTCACCCCAATTTAAACCATCATTTCGGCTCTTTGATAGTCTCTTTACAGAACAAAACAAAACAAACCTGGAAGCATCGGTTTACAACTTACACCGCACTTTACGAACAAGAATCTAGCCAATACCGCAGAGGATTTCTCAATTTGACAAACCATTTTGGAGCTAATAGACTTATCGGGTAATTATCTGACTTGCTAGCAACATGTGTTTGCACAACATTCTAAGTGCCATTGAATTCAATCCGCGATATGACGCAGCCAATTTCAGATTTCTTCAGGCATTTAATTTAAAGAGCAGGTGAACCCCAGACGCCCCACCCGTTCCGGAGCAGTCTGTCGGTACGGACATTTCCCGAGGCCCCACAGCAGCCGCCCACCCTGCGAGTGAGTATCGACTGCCGCGGTGGCCGGCAGAAGGGATACGGGCCGGAGCCACGCTCCGGCGCACACCCGCATTGTAGCCGCTCGGCCGGATTGGCGGCGGAAACGACCAGCGCTCTTGTAGCTGAGCTAATAGCGTCATCCACCAATGTGTTACGGCGGGGCATTGTGGACCGGCGCCCCGCCAGGACCCTCACATGGGAACAAAAAGAGCCGATTTTCCTAAAACAGCTCAGCTCAGTTTATCAACAAAAAATGATGCTAAAAAATGCGCAGTGGCTGTCGAGAGCTCTATCGTATAGATGGTCCTAAAGTACAATTATACGTGACATAACCTCTAAAGCTGATGTGCGGTTGAAAGTCGGTGTAATATTTAGGGCATCACCACTTGGAGCAGCGTTGCAATTAGACAGCGTCTTGTTTGCTGTACTTGACTCGTATACCTACTTGCAAATGAAGTGTTTTAGTCGAAATTCGTTTACGTGTAGTTTATTAATTTTGGGTACCTTACCGGGCATCAATTTGACACCTGCACACAAAATTTCAAGTCACAGGTCACCTCAGGTCAGGAGTTATTGAGGTCAAACTGAGGTCATGTTCGAGTAAAAATGAGCAAAAAACATGACATCTTGAAACGCTCACCAATTCTACAGTTAACAAGCAATTTTAAAGTTCTTTATGTGGTTGTGTAGAGAAAAGACGGCGCTACAAAACTGCTATCTCGGATTTTCGAAATTTTGGGATTTTGACCCCAAAAAATAAAAAAAAATGATTTTTTTAGAAAAACTCAAAAAATTCCAAAAAAAAAATCGAATTTCGAAAAAACCGGAATATATGTGATAGTCCCTGCGCTTTTCGATATACATACCAAATTTTAGATCGATACCTCTTTTTTTGGCCAAGTTATAGCGAAAAAACTGTTAAAAATTGATGACGTCAAATTTTTGAACTCAATTTTTAGCCATTCTAGACCTCGTAGCGCAAAACGGAGACCACCATTGAACTCCCCGTGACGAGCTGCATCGAATCGATAACCATTTTATGCAAAAATGTCAACTTTGAAATTTGACCTAATTTGACCTGACCTTGACCTGACCTTGACCTGACCTTGACCAAAACGTGACCTAAGCTGGCCCTAAAGT